TTAAAAGTGACTTAAACTTATTTTTACAATTTATGTTGAAATTAAATATCGATAAACCATCTTTAATCCGATACAGCATGTCTTTCGACATAGGCCTCCTATAAAGACTTCCATACTGTGCCGTCCTTTGCTTTACGAGTCCATATTGGGCTGGCTATTTTCCTAATGTCATCGTATTTCGTCTACCTCTGTTTCTTTTACTAAATCGTAGTTACCATTCTGTTCTTATTCTTGTCTATTTCTCTTTCTTTTGTTTTATTATGTATCCTACCTATCTTTACTCTAATTATTTGTAAGTTGTATATGCATTCTAATAATTTGTTTTAGTTTTTAGTGTTTTTAATTATAAAGATATGCCTATGAAAAAAAAGAATGAAGTTGTTAAAAATTATTTGGTAGTAACAATAAAAAATTTATCGATGTGAACTTTAAATTTCACTTTTCTATACTATAACGAACTAATTTATATACATAAATATATTTATATAATAAAAAATGGAATAGAGAGAATCGGAATAAGAAAAGGTTATTAACCTTTCTTTTTACTCCTATTATGCTTCTCTCTATTCCATAATCGATAAAAATTTTATTGTTTCAAAGTTTTGACGACAATACACAATACTACCAAATAATTTTTAATAACTTCACTCGTTTTTTTTCATAGACATTTTTTTAAAGTCGTCACCAAGTATTCACTATTCTTCTTTTATTTATTTATTTTACACTTTATTGTACCATTTATAAAAATAATTAATACAGTTAATTTTAATGAGAAGTGATACAAAAGATGACCTTTTAATTTCCATTAGCATGCATTCTTCAGTAAATATTATCTGTCCAAGAATATATATTCAAGTACATATTCTATTTTCTCGTTATTTATTGTTATGATATTTCTTTGTGGGTACTAAGTTAAATGTGGGTAAACCGAGTGTTATCTTCATTGTAATTTAAAGTCGATGAATTCTACTCTCAGACCGTTACTATCTCTCACTTCCATCCGAGAATGACTCTATAATCATATTTACTATATAATAAATTGAATACTGTATAAAATTAATATAATACTGATTCTAAAATTTCATAAAAACCTGAACCACTTTTCACGTGATGTTTGAATTGGAAAAAGGTAATACATACAACATTTCACGGAACATCTTTAGAAAATATTATCAATATACAGCCTTTTCTTTTTGCAATTTTATTATAAGTACTCATGAAATAAAATAGGTAACTATGTGAGTATTTGAAAAATCTTTTTAAATTATTATTAAATGTATTTAGGTAGTTAAAGCAACAAGAATTGATTTTCCTTTCAATGAGATATTTATAACACTATGAACGAGAAACAAAGCAATAATAACCCACTTTGAGTTGATGTAGTACCTAAAAAATAAGTGTTTTACAAATTACATTGCAGACAATGAAAAAGTAAACTATTCAAACATCGGCGGTACAAGTGTTGAACAAAAATGCTCAGTAATTACGAACTATTTGCTCCAAACTTGTTTCATAAAGGGTACAATTTAAGAAATCGAAGCACGTTTTCGATTTCATTTTATTGAATGTGCCATCACATGCTATCCCAAAGTGGCTGATATAAGTCCAGTAGACAGACAATTTGATTGTTATTTATAATATGGCATGTCGGTGCGATTTCTTACTTGCTCTGTCGTTAATGTCATATTGTTCTTTTAAGATGTGAGTGGGCAGCAATGTACAGATGTAAGTACTAAGTAGTTAGATATTTATGTAATTTTACTCAATAAATAGTGAACATATATATGTTACACAAAATATTAAATTTTATTTCATTTCTGTAATAACAAAAAAAATTTAAAGACTGAAACTAGAATACTCTAATGGAACTTTATAAAAAATCATAATTCATAAACTCTCATAATACTTACAAACTTCCAGTTTACTAAAGGAAATAAATGAAGTGTAACTTTACTAGGTAAGTAAAGTTACACTTAAGTTGGATTCCTAAATTAGCCGCGCTAGGAATACTCGTTTCTGTCTAGTACCTGCTGAACCAAAAAAATTTGATGTTTTAATACCAGTTAAATATAGTCCGGATTAAGTCTTATAAGACATGTTTGGCTCTTGTAATATAATGGTAACTCAAAAGAAAAAAGAATAATAAATACTTACATTGAAGAGAGAATTAATATTCACTGTAGATTAAACATAAGTATGTATAAACATTGCTTAATGAAATGTACGAAAACACGTAAGCATATTTTCAAATTTTCTTATGTTTTTACATCTTAAATTTTATAGCTAGTCTATATGCGTTTTTTATCTATTTTATTTGCCTATAAAGCGATGACAAATAGAGCTAAAACAACAAGTTTATATGAAACGGGGCGATCTTAGCTCTCTCATCAATCTGGGGTCTGAACTAAACAGCGTCTCGTAGATTTATTCCTCAGATGTGTGGCCGTGTCTCCTCTCACAGTTAAAATGTCGACGAACCTAGCAAACGGCTCGGGCGTCCTAAAACTTTTTCAATAGTAATCTTTAGCAGACTCAGACGGAGTGACTGGCATACTACCGAACGATTGTATTCTATTACGAATTCGTGACAAATGAGATAAATTTATATGATTTCTAATATTTGTTGTATTACAAAACAAAGTTAACATCTATCTAATAAATCTAAATAATATATTTATGTATATCCACTCACAAATAGTTATAAATAATTTCCTATTTATTCCCTATCTTGCTATTTTTTTAATAAATTGACAATATTAAATAAATCAATAGATTTTAAAAATATTATTTTAAAAAAATATGTTAATTTGTTTAAAGTTGTTTAAATATGTTCATAAAATTTTATAAATTTATTATGTACTTATCTTTAAAGACTTCTGCATGAAGTCGAAATAATTGTCGGGACCTTTGTAGAAAGACTTTGTACAAAAGTCGATTGCTTGGGTACCTCTGTCCCACTCGTGTTTCAACCGTGAAGCAGTTGTGTTTGCATGGCTATGTTTCGGTTTGAAGGGTGGAATATGGCGTGAATTTACTGGGTACAGAGGAATAACACCTGAGTCCTCAGGAATGGCAACGCATGGGGGGTATCATGACTGAAATAGTATACTCTGTTATGTCCGTGGTACTGCTCATGTCTATAGGCGACGGTTACCACTTTCCATCAGGTGGGCCGTCAGCTATAAATACTTTTCTACGTTTTTGAAAATTTCACCCCTGAAAGAGTAAAATGGAGAATGAAAATTTTTATAGGAAGTATGTTATTTTTGAAGATAGAAGTGTCACAGTTTATTTGTAAGTCTTATAAATTATAGCTGTTTATAAAGAATTAACAGCTATAATTTATAAGACTAAAAAAGAAATGTTATTCCCAGAAATCAAATACCACAGGCGTGCGAAGCCGCACATAAAAGCTAAATACATATGTTTTAAAATTACGTATTTTTCACATGTCTAATTAAAATATTGTAAATAAAAAATTGGCCTTATTTCGATTTACATATTTAATCTCTAACCTTATAAACAAGCTGAAAAATCGAGTTACTATAACACCAAGTTCTAGATTTCTTTATAAATCCATGCCACAAAACAACACGTCCCAAATTTCGATTCGATTTGTCACACAAGCAGCCAAATCTAAAATAAAACCTTATTTTATCTAAAATAAACCTGTCTTTTGTCATTTCTTATCTTTCGTCAATTCTTACATTGATCGCCCATATAGCTTCCGTATAAAATCTCCTTTTAGAATCTAACATATTTATTCACCTCTTTATAAAGTAATATGTATATACTCGTATATTATATATAACATGTTTAAAATTCAGTCAGACGAATTATAACATATCAGACATTGAACTCAAGACATCAGGGGGCGAGCAAACCTACCATCAATGTCGCACGGTTTAAATAATCAGACTTTTTAATAAAAAATATTGAAAGTGAATCATTGACCACCACAGCACCTGAGACTTAATAACTGTCAATAATTGTTTCCGATAATTACATATTTTTTTTTTATAATTATTTACCATCTGACAATCGCCAAAATTTAATTATTAAAGTTCATAACTACCAAGTATTATAGACTTTTAAATCAGTGTATACAATATAATATTCGTATATCAATATATATAATACCTATATTTTTACGGGTCCCAAAATACTGACTGTATAATTTTTTAAAATAATACTAGAATCGTATTTGAGATAATTGGAATTCTTATAATCGTTATTGTTGCTTTTAATATTATTCCAACTCTACAGAATCGGTATATAAAAGTCGATAAAATTAAAATAAATTATATTTTGCCTTAAGCAAAAGGTTCTTTAATATTATTATCGCCTACGGTGTTTATTATTTTAATTCGATAGTTAAACACACTTTAACGTTAATGAGGAAGTAATCATCCAAAAAACGTGACAGTAGTCACGTTTATTTGCAATTTTAAGGCCAGGTATTTTTAATAAAATGCACCTAGTATTTGAGACACTAATAGTTAAAGTTGCTATTATTGATACATTAATACATGAAGTATATTAAAAAAAAACTCTAAAATACTAATATCTAAAGATTACACTCCTCAAGCTCGATATAAACAATTATAGGATTACTTCATGCCCTTCCTATCGATTCGATAGATACTGGATCATCTAACGATTCGAAACCAGAATTTTGTGATAGAAAAAGATTAGACGTTTAGATGTATAGATATAACAGATACTAGATTGAATACCACCATCTCGAAATAAATATACTATAAATGACAATGCTTCCTTTTTTAATGGGTGATAATGGAATGGTAAACGCGCCCGCGCTATACTGGTGAGGCACTAGTGAGAGTTAATAAGAGAGAATGAAAACAGCTCAACTAGCGCATCGTTGACGAAATCCACAAGTATTAACCAAGATTCCTGGGAAAATCGTGTGAAAGTTGATCTGATAGAATATATTGCTAAGAGGATGCTTAGCAACAATAATCAATTTTTTTTTGTTTCAGGATGCCTGGGCGCATTATCAGCGGGAGTGGCACTTGCATTGTCGCCAGTGACAGTAGCGCTGTGCGTGCGAAAGTCCACACGTGTGACCGCCGTAGTCGGAGGTCTGGTTGCAGCTCTCGGCTGCCTCTTCACATCCTTTGCCACGCAATTTCACCAGCTCTTCTTCAGCTATGGTCAGTACAAAATCTTTGAGATCTTGTGTTTTAACTATTACTGCAATTCAGATCAAGATTTTTTATGTAACATATTTTTAACGTAACTTTATATGATAGAATGATTACATATCACGAAATATTCTGATCACTGTGAAAAATGCAGTAGAATATTGTAATATATTTTCATGCAAAAACATTATGTTTTAGATCTTTTAAAAACTGTTTACGAATACTACGATTAATTTCTCAAACATCCTATTATTGAATGTTAATTTTAACTATATTAATACTGACTCTAATATAATTGAATGTATTTACACCAAACCTACATTGAAGATTAAAAAAAAATAGAAACGAATTCACATTTTTCCATTTACAAATAGTTAACTGGAAATAGGCGAACAAAGTTGCCCACATTGTAATATGTTTGAACTATTTTCAAATTTTCATTCTCAAACTACGATAGCGAAAACAATTCTCATTGGTTGCGGCACCATTATCGAATAAGGACTATCAATTTTTATTCCTTTGCGTTTCTCAAACTTACAACTCTCGGTCACAGAATATCGCAGTTTAACATTTCAGTTGTACCATAAAATAAAGTTTCATAGAAGTAAAACTACTACATAAATGCAAGTGATAAGCTTCCTATATCTTCAACAATATTACGTCGGTAGCATACAAAAATCAACATTAACATTTAAATTGTACTGGTGTGAGGTTTTTAACACGACTTGAAATAGCGAAGAAGCTAACTGTTCGCCTGATGGTAACTATCGCTTATAGACGTTAACAGCAGCATGATGGAATATACTTGCCATCACGCATTGCCATTCCTAAGGACACTGTTCCTTATGTGTGTGTTACGCTTCCGTACCCAGTCGTTCAAACCACAGCCATGCAAGCACAATAGCTACTTGACAACAGAACCACGAATGAGACAGAGAGAGATACTTATACAGGATTTTATACGCAACCTCTTCCGCTGGTAAAGTTAATGTATACAAAATACTATATTTTTTTGTGTTGTATACATATTCATACATATTTTCTAAAACAAAAAAAAAAACTACGTTAAGTGAACCTACAAATTGTGTTAATTCGAACATTGTTACGTTCTCACGTAAATATCGCGTTTACAAATAAAATATTAAATAGTATTTTTCTATGCGCAGTTATTATATAAAGTTCTACCTCACGTATCTCTAAACGAACATTCAAAATAATGTCATCCAATATAAAGTAACTGCCGCGCGTACTACACTGCCACTGTTATTATCATGGTACAATCGTCGATAATAACATGTCAACAACTCAACACTATGTGGCAGTGCTATTAATGACAATTGTAATTATTTACTAGCTAAACTAATAATATATCATAAGACACAATGTTTACATATTATTGCATTTGACTGTACATGCAGCACTGGAGGTAGAACTACTATCTACAACAGATCCCTGTTACCACGTTATGATCGCAGGCTATGAATGTTAGCTAACGATGTCACTATGCCAACCGTAGTTCCGCTGATACCCTCTTTAAAAGGATAGAGACGGGATTTGATGTGAAAATAGCATGAACTTTCAGTAACATAATTATTTGCTGCAATTCCAGCAGAAAATGTATAATAATGAAATTCTATTCTTTTATATTTATATAAGTCGGTTCAAAATGCACTGCAATTAATTTAAATGTTTAAGTATATAGAATCAATATTATTCTTATCCTTATTAATATTATAAACGTGACAGTGAGTTTGTTTGTTTGTTACACTGGTGCATTAACAGCTTAATCAATCATTATGAAACTTGGTATATCTACTTATGCTATAAGGGATGGAGAAGGTCATTGACTACTTTAGATCCCTGTCAATCAATGCACCTGGACCACACAGACAAAGTCACAAGTAAATGTTAGCAATTAATATAAAAAGTGTATTATAGTTCGGTCCTTATATCTGCTAGTAGTTTTTAAGGTGCTTATAAGCTTTTTACCTAGTTTTCATTAAACACAGGTTTCCTAGTGGTTATGTGAATATGTGACTATAAACTTGCTGCTTCTCAAAAAACGTCATGTATCATCAAAAGCTGAGTATAGGCCATCAACCTTCGCCTATATTGTAATAATTATAGATTTTCGGAGATCAAAAGCGTTTATTCTTAAATATTTTTCATAATTAGCACTAATTATTCTGTAAACAAATTGTGTACTTAGACGGATTTAGTTTCTGAGCACGTTCGCGACGTATTTGCAGACTGCTGTATATAAACACGATAATAATTATATTTATGTTTACACAAACATACTTTACATTCTTCGCGTCATATTAGTTAAATTGAAGTAACCTACCTACTGTATATATAGTTATATATAATTTCAAGAAGTATGGATTCAAATTAAATTCAGTGATCCTATACCCTGTTATATAAATAAAATTTCTGTTATTATTGCTTTAAGTTTGCACAACTACTATTCAATTTAAATTTTATATTTACTCTTTATTCGATTTTCATAGAAGTAGAAATATAAAATGGGAAATCTGATATCCACTCTGTCATATTCGTCGTTATCTAGATGGACACCAACTTGTCAATATGTGAATGAAATTATAGATTCCATGAATACATTTACCATGTCACAACATGTTTTACACGTTTATGGTTCAAGCAGTAGGTAATATATTTAACTTCAAAGTTAAAATTAGTCATGGCGAGATCTTGAGATCTCGCCATGACTAATTTTATAGGATTATTTTGTGATGACGCTCTGATAAAAGTCAGATAAAAAGCCGATCTAATAAAAAGTTGTAATTTTGGTAATCGTTCCGTAGAGACATGGACAGCACTATAGATATAAAAAAATCTAACGATCATGCATTACAACTCTTGAAAAATAAGTTGAACACTTGCATTAAAAAATTTTTACTAGCTACCAACCGTTCATAAGACACTCTTTTCAATCACGAAATACTCTACCACAAAAGAACTCCATGTAATGACAGAATAAGTATACAGTAAATTATTTTTTTTTTTATTTTACTTTGAAAGGGAAACATACAATATCTAAGACATAATATACACAACCATAACATAAATCAGTAAAGTTTCCACAATAAACCAAACCAAATAATCGAGAGCAGATGATTATTGATATTATATATGATATTGATGAACATAAAAATATGTATATATAATAGTATATACATACACACACCCACCCACACACATACACACACACACACACACACACACACACACACACACACACACACACACACACACACACGCACACGCACACGCACACGCACACGCACACGCACACGCACACGCACACGCACACGCACACGCACACGCACACGCACACGCACACGCACACGCACACGCACACGCACAAGCACACACATCACTCATTTTCATATGTATTCGTAGAATGTCGTAAGAGGTGGACTACATGAACAAAACAAATGCCGTCAAATAAATGCAATCGAATAAAAAGCTTCAATATCTTCCTACTATTTATTACTTTACAGTGTAATATTAAAACGAGTTGCACTCGTATTACATTATATATTCATTAAACCTGTTGATGACAGTTAATTTAAATAATTTCATAATCCTTTATCACCTCATACATTCCTAAAACCTATTGATAACAGTGTATCATATATTTTTGTTACTCCATACTTCCTTAATTTATGCTGCTTATGTCTATAGACTACGATTACCACATTTTATCAATTAAGCTGTTAGCTTGTTTGCCATTCTAAGTTGTATAAAAAAATTAGTCTGTTATCCTTGAATTATCTAGAAAAAATTACTTCCAGTAATAAGGCCATCTTACTTACCTATACAACTTAATTTGTCATATTTATTGCTTACGTTATTTTATTCCCTATGTCGTAAAATGCAAATAAAACATATTCATTTATACATTTAAATCATTTTGTAATTTTATATATAAGTAGTACCTACTCTAAATATAATCAGAGAATATCTAATAAGTTCTATGTATACGATCGTGAGTGGCTTGTTACACAAAGCTGATTCAAACAGCAAGCGATTTGTTACATGTCAAATGCGCGCTCCCCTTATAAACTTTGATAAGCGGTAATATCCTGAACTGAATGACACCGCTTTCGTTCTCCTGCATAACAACATTACTTTGCATCAGTCATCCGTTCCATACTACCAGTTAGCAACACATATAAATTTCTATTTATCTACATTGTATATAACAAAAGCAATTCAAAATTTTAAAAACAACTTTAAGAGCTCCTCTTTATTAATCGATTTTATGAAGTAAAATATTCCTGATAAAAGAAAATATTGAATACTTTTACTGATTTTGATAATTAAATATTTTTCTTTTGATTATTAGATAGACTTTTTCTTCGGTATATTCATTTTGTCACAATGTTAAATAATTAATTGATTTTAAATGGCCGCACTATTCGTGCTAGTAGTTTTTTTTTTTTTTTTTGTAAAAAAAAAAAAAGATGTTACTATTTATTTGATATACTTTTATAGACATATGCGGAAGTAAAAATATTGAATAATTATCACTGAATATGGCATGCCTTGTAATGTAAGCACTCATCCATAAACAAAACAGAAAAAATACTTCTAAAATTATCAAATAATATCTGTCTTTTCGTATATAAAACCGAAAGGCTATTTACTCGTACTCTACATACAGAAATCTCAAAATACATAATCTATAAATCTGAATATTATAAAATAAATTCCTTGTGGTATATACAACCAGTAAGATAAAAAAAATCCTGCAAGAATAAAAAAAATCCATACTGTAAATTACTTCCGGGAAAATTTCAGGAGATATTGGAGGGCAACTGAAAATGTTGTTTTATAAACTTAACGCTTTAAAAAACGACGTTGTTTATGACTTGTGTTCGATTGTCGTAGTTGAAGCGTCAAAATTACATACATTGAAAACCATAAACATGGAGTAACGGAGTTATACAACTTGTCATAAAGATCGTATGACTGATAGTTGAAGATCTGACGCGTTAATAAATATCGCTACAATATCTGCTGTCACTACAAAACACGAGCGACATTTCACTATTTTTATGACGTGATTCATACTGTTATTTTTTCAGATTACGCTGATATTTTCTTACGAAATAAATTCTGAATACGTGCATTAATGTGAAAATGTATGATTTCACTTGTCAGGCATTCGTAAGAAAGAATAAAGCCAACCCATTCGTAATCCAAGAATTTATAAAAAATATTGTACAATACTCGCATTCATTCATACTTATAAGGCTAATTGCGTTATTCATAAAGACATCAAACCTCTCATAAGTCTATTGTAACTATTTAACAGTTTTGTCTCTTTCTTTTGCGCTAAATTCTCAGTTTGAAGTGACAAAACAGTGTAATAGTTAAAATAATTTCGTAGGATGTTTTAATTTTTATAAATAAGGGAGTTACACTTTAGACTGACGCTTTAACATAAAAAATTGAAATAAAACCATCTGCCTAATCAGTGCTATTAATGGCGATCAAGTGAGTAATAGATACATATAGTTCATTGACAATATTTTATTCTAAACTAAACATTATTATCAAATTATCAGTGGATCTTTTACTAACAAATCAATGTTGTGTAATATTAAAAAATCTAACATTATACCTAGATAATTAAATGGGACCGGAGGAGACGGATCGTATAGATATTAACCGGACGACGAATAAACCGAATTGATAATAACTGAAACTTGTTTAGTTTTACATATATTATTTTGTCGACATATATATTGTTATTGGTTGAAAAATTTTGATTCATTTTTTTTATATGAAATTATATATTTATTCTTTATTGACCACATTACAAATATAAAAGTGTCTGGTATAAAAAGCGGACTTAATGCTACATACGAGTAACATTCTTTCCCAGTCAACCTGATACTGATTTAGTTAATCTACACTGTAAACTTTACTGTTTTATTTCATCATATACTCAAAATAGAATTATATTTATCAATACAGATGGTTTCCAAACCAGTTACACTAATAAATTGTAAGATTAAGCAAAGCATTGTAATGGGTATATAAGAACACACGCAAAATTACTCATAAATTATGGTAGATACGCCATTACATTTGTTTTCTACTTTTACATTAGTTTCTAAAAAGTAAGTGTTGCAGGTACGGTGGTAGGTGTGGGAGTGGGCTTGACACGAGACTGCTCTACGCTGATGGTGGCGCAATACTTCAAAAGAAGACGCGAACTAGTCGAGATCTTTATCGTGAGCGGCAGCGGTCTCGGCATCGCAGTCATGTCCACCTTTATCAAAGGTGCTATCAGGTGATTATTTCGTCACATCGTACAAATGTAGACATTTTAATAAAATGGTTGTTGTTCTATTTATGATATTTTCAAAATTTCAACCTACAATTTGTAATTTAGTTATACTCAGATGGAAATATCTCTTATAAACGCGAACCACGTCATAGACGAATATTTCTTAGGTATAGTCATTACTAAGAACGAAGGTTCCAATATCTCTTTCAAAACGAAAGCAGTTGTGCTTTCGTACTTAGAAATTTGATTTCCATATCCCACTCCTCATATTAAAATGTAACTATAGCGCAGTAGTTCGGTAGCTTAACAGAATGACGAGTGTGACAAAAGTGCCTATGTAAACGATTTTATACAAAGGTTCCCTCTGGTGATATAAAATAATAACATACTGGACTTATTCATACGTCATATAGATAAATAATTAATTATATTTTTTAAGACAATTGTTATAAAAAACTGTTCCTTATATATATATAGACGAGTACGACGGTGATTTAGAGCTAAAAAGCAGCATGACATCCATTATCGAGCTATTGCAACTCATAACTTCAGTCCTCAAAATAAAAAGTTAATTAGGAAGTTAATGGGTCACTTCACAGTCGGTCACTTTTATAGGTAATAACTTATAATTAGAAACTTTTCTTTGTTAATGCCTCATAAGTCTAGTACGAGTACTTATTCAAAATTGTTAGTTACAAGTATGTTGTGTAAACTAGTGTAAGTAAATAAATAACAGTATCTACGTGCTTACTTTAAAGTATAAGTAAAAGAGTCGACTACAGAAACAAAGTACAGTACATACCTATTAATACAAGAGATTGAATTTAGAAGAACTTTATGTACTCTATTTGATGGTATCAACAAACTTATGAGGTGATTTTGAGCTGCCATTTCTCTATGCCTATCTCTTAACCTTATATTTTAATTTGATAATTTAGCAAAAACACTTGTTCTATAGACCATCATAAACTAAATTTATAATAATTTTGACTTTAATAGAAAGTTAGCTAATATTGCTCCTTAGAATAAAGTTTTCACTGTAATAACAAATAAAAATTTTAATTTTAGAGATAGAATTAGAAAAATAGCATCCGAAAATCGACTCCAATATTGGTATATTCTTACTCAAAAACACAACTTCATTACAGAGCAATTGGATGGCGATTAGGATTGCAAGCTGTGACAGGAGTAGTATTCGTAACATTCATACTGGGCACCTTCTATCGATCAGCCTCTTTATACCACCCACAAAGGAGAGCCATACTCCATCTCAAAAATCAGAATAAAATCAAACGGAAGATGAAAGACAGGAACAAAACTGATGATAGGCAGCCATTTTTTGATTTCTCCACATTAAAATCTAAAACCGTCAGGATCCTCCTCATGTCGACAGGGATATCAGCGTTTGGAATCAATACACCTATTTTCTATTTAGCATACCACGCTGAGCAGGAAGGTAAGCATTTATTAACATTATATTACTTATTCACGTTCTGTTTTTTTATTATTATTATTATTATATACAACACTTATAGTAAAGTGACAAGAAAATGAGCATCCCTTGTATTATACTAATTCAACTTTTAGAAGCAATAATTTTTTTTATGAGTGAAAATGGCATCGATATGCACGGGCGGGGCACTAGTGTAAGATGATAGGTAAGGATGAAAGCACGTCGATTGGCCCATTGTAACTAATTTAACATGATTTAATCACAATGGTTTCCAGTGGGAACCGCGTGGAAGTCGACCTGATAGGGTATATTGCTGGAAATGGGGCCATTAGACCCCATTACTAACAATCCCTTTCTCCCAGCAATAATATTAGTTATATCAATGTATTGTTATAAAATACATATATACGTACATATATGTATGGATATAAACACATATTTGAGTTCAAGTTATAAATATGGGTTTTGTTATTGCTAATTAAAAGTCAACAAGTCAAATGCATTAATTATATTATATTTGTTATATAGTATTGCCACTTCCACTTATATACAATTTATTAGTTCATGGCGCTCTACAGGTATAAGAAGAGAGTGTATCCGACGAGTCGATCTCATTCATTGTAATATAAAACTTGAAAATATAAGAACCTTTATAAATAATATGTAAAACTTTTAAATATTTTCCCTCGTATAATGAGAGCAATGCCACGGAAATTTAGTGTTGGCAAGAAAACCAGTGATGCATAAAATAGAAAAGTTTCCTTTATTACTTAGTTTTACTTATCAGACATGTTCGCAATACCTATTCTGTTTTTATAACATTCTCATATCGTAGCAATAAAGCTAGTTTACGACAATGAACATCTCAATAGATAATTGTTTTGTGTAATCTAGAAAAGCTTATATATGTAAGTACGTAATTTTCTTCAAAAATAAACCAAAATAGAATTATATCTCTTTTTATTACTTACCCATTGGGTATCAAATATTTTATTTATTTTTTGTTCATCCCTTGAGTGTTCCTAACTTCACCGACTGAGAAGATTATCGTACGTACAGTCTAACAAAAAAATGTGTTTGGTGTACAGACAGAAAATGTAACATTTTTAAATTGTATTAATTTTCGTACTTGAGAGTGCAGCGGTTTATCATACTGTCACTTTTTGATAGATGCGAGATCAATCCAAAAACAAAATATGTAATTGTATTTATAAATGTAATATATGTATAAATGGTAGATAATGTAATTGTTTAGGTACCTATTCATTATTTTATATATGAATGAAAATAGAATAGTAACGATACCTGTGTTAAAGATTTGCTGGAAGGGTATCTGTAAGGGATGATAAGTATAGATGAAATCAATTAGCCCATAGTGACAAATTCAGCAGTAATTAACCATAATGGTTTTCCGGGTAAACCGCAAGATTAGCCTTACACAATATATTGCTGGAGCCAATACTCCTCGTTACAAATAAGCTCTTCATATTACATACTCTTGAACAAACAAATTGAGATTAATTGGCAAAAATGATAATGTAATGCACAGTAATAGCCATTAATAAATGGCTAAATAAATATATTTATCACAAAATTTCAGGCTTAGGCGACACAGCTGAACTACTACAAGCATATCTGGGTCTAGCCTGGGCTGTGGGATGTGCAGCATTTGGACTACTAGTGCGTCAGAACTCGGCCGAATGCCGGATAGCCCGACAATACCTGACACAAGCAGCAGTATTCGTATGTGGACTAGCCACTATGGCCCTCACAGCTGTTGAAGGCTCATACAGGGGATATGTTATGTTCGCTTGGATCTATGGTAAATACAATGCAAGTACAGTAGGCTTCATTCATTATCATTTTATTATTTTCTTCTTTAATCAATATAAGTGCGACTTCATCGACAAGATTTATTTTTGTTTGACATTTTTAAACTCTCATAACCTACTTTAAAACTTTTAAGTGTAAAAAAAAAATTGTCTGGCTTATTGATGACTTTGTAATTTACAGGTTCATGTCTATAAAGTCTACTAAAATACTATAGCTGAAGGCATCTCTAGCTACAATATTTTGGGCTTCTTAGTAAATTACTGCCTAGCTAGAATAAAATTTATCGCTTTGCTAGTGCCCATTTTAGTATTTTTTATTACAGATTTTATACAGATTAGCAGTGTTTAAATGTCCAAGTCATACAAACAAGTGTAGGTACTGTATTCTTAGTAAAATTAGTATAAAACACAAGAAGCTAAAACCAAGTTACATTGATAATTACCTATTTAGTGACTATTCCTTATTTGACTTAGAAAAGTAGTTGCTATCTACTCATATAGGTATGACCAATCTTATATAAATTCCACTTCTTTAATCCGAATTTAGTTTCTCTATTAACAAGATGATTTTCAGTTAATTGTCTATTAATTTGACTTTGTTGTGACATAAGAAAATATATTGTTTAATCGGTGTAATAAATTTTCATAATTGTGTTGCCAAACAAAAATATCTAAATTATAATTGTTTTCTTACAGGTATATTTTGCGGAGGGTATCACTATTCGTTAAAGATGTATACGTACGAACGGGTGCGCTCTAGAAATTTCGCGCGTGCCTGGGGTTTCGTACAATGCTCGCAAGCAGTACCTATAGCTATTGGAGTACCCCTCTCAGGTACGACAATCATAATCTTATTTAGACTGCCTACTGTTTTAAATCAGCCATATAAAATCATATGTATATAAAATTGTTTAGAAATTGATTAGGAATGAGGAAGCTCAGACAGGCTCACTTATATTCACTTACTTCACCAGCGTTGGTAAATAAATGGATTGCTTTTAATAAATCAAATAAAACACCACGGTGACCCCTTCACTTTGTAAACTTGTCTCTGGAATTTACAAACCACACTGAACACTCGTGTAAAAAAAGGGGCAGAGCGTGTCAAACACGCGTTAACAGGGTTCCGTAACCATGTCAAGTTTTAAATTTAGAGACTCGCATCTCTTTAGAGTAAATTCCAATATTACTATAACTGTAAACCTAACATTTTGAATTTTTGCAAAGACTGTATTTGGCACATAATCTCATAGCAGTTTTTACAGATATAATAGTAACCATGAAATAGATATTGATTGTAATTAGTTTATTAGGAATTCTAAAAACATCTACTTATGTATATCAAGATAAAATGCGGCTAGTTAGGTATGAGTAGGCACTTATTTCTATAACTTGTGATTAAGTGTCTAATTCCTTCCGTACCACCTAATTTAAATAGTTAATTATATTATCGATCCATTTACAGGATACATCAACGTAGGATGTGGTGGAAAGGCGGGCTACTATTTTAGTTCTACGTGCTCGCTTATCGGTTCACTGTCACTCTTCTGCATTGATCTGCATCGGCGCAGCGTTGCGCATAAACAAACCAAGTAATTATAAAACCTTTTTAAAATTTAAAAAAATTGATTTTTTTTTATTTAGCTTACACCGAAACTCAGTTTTGCAAGCACTGGTCCTTAATGGTAGAAATACGAATGAGAGAGATGGATACCTATGTACCTATGTAAACTTATATACAGGGTCAGCAACGTGCGCATGACATCCCTGGTGTTACAGACGTTCATAGGCTACAGTAACCCCTTCAGAAGGGCCGAATGCATGTTTGCCAATATAGTAGTATAAAAAAAACTTTTGTACTGTCTTCCTGTAACAGGTAGATTTTTTTCCGTAGCTTCACATGCACGAAATTGTTTAGTTTCTATTTCTGTAAAAAACTTATGAAAAATCCTTTAATAATATTTTTGCTGACATTATGAAAAAAATCTAAACACTTTCATGTTTCTAGACTGAGAAATTTCGTCTATGAAAAAGTCCTGCTAAACACTTATCACTAAGTAATCTAAGTTACCTAGTAGCAATAGTTTTCATTGTGATCATTTATTTATTTACTATTTCATTTTCAGAGAAAATGGTGGAAGCACATTATGTGAGACGGTTGTGGGTGGGTCGACGCGCCGCAGTCACTCTCGCGACCGTGAACCTCGCACCGCCACCGGCGCTGCCACCGCATTAGGTATGAAAGTAAAATATAAATATATATATAAAAGGATTGCTAAACAGAAACTAACCGTCCCATTGTTAGCAATATGCCTTGTCAGCTCGACTTCCACGCGGTCTCCACAAAAAACTTCCCGATAAATCCATCACGATGGGCCAATTGCTAGTTTTCATTGAGGTACCAATGAAAACTAGCAATTGGCCCAGCATAAATCACAGGCGATGTTACCGTTCTATTTTAATCCATTGACAATTAAGACCTGGGTTCTAAATAATTTGAAAATTTGTTCCAAAAATCACTTCAATCTTGATAAAATTAATCTAAGACCAAGAGCTGTTACAGAATACTCTGTAACGCCTATTTTACCCTCAAACGTTGCTGTTACTGAGGACTAGTGTTACGTCTTTGTACGCCCCGATTTCACTGCCATACCGTCAAAGTGAAACACAATGTTGCAAAGTTTTTTTTTTATATATTGGTTATTGTGTTGCTTCATATTTTTTCTGGTTTGTTGTATTTTATGATATCTTCTTGTTACTTATAAAAAATATTCAACACAATGTAGTATTGTTGCGAATAAATAAATTGTATTGAAAATTGAATTAAATTGAACCAGAAACACGAATGAGACAGACTGACGAAATTTCTCTCTCTGATTATTTATTATTTATTGTACACAAACATAAGAACAATTAATTTTAAATGTAATGTACAAAGGCGAGCTTATCTCTAATAAAAGATTTCTTCCAGCAAACCTTTCCATGTAAATGAAATTGATATTTTTAAAAAAATTAATAAACAGACATATGATTTGTCTACGTTGCATAAACACATTTATAAAGTATATACAAAGAAAAATACAAACTACATATTAATTACACAAAATACATAAACTCTGTGAACATATAAATATTGGAATAATACATAAAATATATAAATATACATAGTAATGCTCCCTTAGTCGACGCTTAAGGATGCCTATACCTGGTGATTCCCTTATTTCGAAAGACAGACAATTCCATAATCAAATGGTTGTGTGTATCGCGTTATAAAGAATCCAATAATTTCAGTTTTAGGAGCAGAATTAATAGCGCCAGGCAGAACCGGCCGTGATCTACTCCTGGATAGCATTGGACCAGGTAGCCTTGGCTCCCCTCCGACCAACGTACCTCCGGAGCTCACGTGCATCAGTGAGGAGGGCGGGCTAGACCTGGACCTGGATTTAGATATACCTGAACATCTCCTTGAGGATTTAGATTGCGGTGGTGACTGTATCACTAGTTGTAATAAGGTAAACTGATACTAATGAAATTAGTAATAAATTCTCACGAAATAAAATAAATTGTCAATTTTAAATAGCTCTTGTATAAGCCAATCCGAAGTACTATATATTAATTTTAGTCTTTTTAAATAATAAGCTTCACCGGATGTATACAGATGAAATCGAAGACATTAGCGGGAAGTATAATTAAAAATCTGTCCATGGTATAGAATAAAAGCAAAACTTTGCGATTCGAAAACAAAAACGCGTAAAAAAATTTAACTTAAAAGACGTTAACAATTTCGGATTCACTCTGTATACATACACATCACCCGTACCATGTATACCTATACACTTTCTAATATATATCATAGTCATTATAAAAAGTAAATAAACTAATAGAATAAATTTTTACTGCATAATTTCATGTATCAACAATAATAAAAATAAAAAGTTCTTTATCAAGATTACATACTTACATTACTATTTTTATAGGTTGAAAACTATCTGATGCTGAGCGAATACGAGAACAACCTCATAGCGGAGCTGCCAAACTTGAACGAGCGTCGCAGCAGGCGCTGGTCCATAGTTATGGCGAACTCTAACCAGCAATCCACCATTCCTGAACAACAAGACTCTCCGGAGCATACCAAAAACTCAATCAAGTGGAAGAAAAAGTGCCATAATACAAACAACAGACTGATCACAGTGATTAACGAAGCCTCTCTATGAATTCCTAGTGAAATAATATTGAGACAATAAATAGAAAGTACCTAACGGATAGTGTATGACCTATTTAACCTCATTAATTTATTTGATGTGTGTGAAGAGTAGAATTTGTGTATTGTTCAATATAATTTATTAAATTATTATGAAATATTTATTTGTTTTTCAATTAAAATTTAACTATTCTAAACTTTGCAAAAAAATTGGTCTACTTAGATTGTAGTTATATAAGTATATTTATTACGGTGTCACTGTTCCCTTAATTACAAATATTACCACCTTGAACTAAAGAACCATTGTGCATGCTCTAATTAAACTCACTAGTGGCAATTTACATAATTACGAATTACCTACATATACGTAATATTGTACTACACCGTAATTACACTACGAGTCAAGGTTTCTCAATAAAACAACATTATACAATGCGATAATTAAATATATGATACTATATTAATAAAATACAATTCAGATAAATACTGCAGTAAAGTATAAAGGAACACAATATAACATTAAACTAATATATTACCGTTGAGGAATAACTATGTCCTCTAGAAACTGGGCGAAACAACGCATCGCTTGCAGTAAAGCGGCAAGTAATATCGATAATGATAAACTCACCAACTTCTGGTTCTCGGTATTAACAATTTCGTTGTTCAGGACAGGAACTAAACTTTGGCTTGAATCTAAACTACGTATACTAGAAGGATCACAATCAATGTTGCTTGTATTTGTACCGCCAACATTCCGCTCACAATTAATAGACTCACAAACATCATTGACATCACATGTCAGATCTATCACAATGAAATCTGAAACTTTTTTATCACCGTTTTTCGTGACTAAGTCAACTTCATGGTCCGGGCCTATCCCAGTGCTATCTACCACATCACTAGTAACACTTACATTAGTAACATTGCTTGAACAACATGGAATCTCATTCCAGTGAGGTTTACTAGTTAGGCACTTTGTTATTACTTCACATTTATCATCTAATACGGAACTTACAATATCTATCTTATTATTATTAGTACTTATGCTTAATTTTAGAGAGTCCTCATTTTCTTCTGATGACATACCACTGTCATTATCAACGACTTCGTCTCGTTCTTCGTGTTTATTTTCTTTGTCATTAAAAACTTTAATTTTAGTAAGACCAAAACTGCCATAAGAAGGAGAATTTGGAGCTACAACAGCCGATTGCAAATTCGTGCCCGTAGAGGGCACGGCCTCTGGTCAAGAGATCTTACCACAGCTGACATTACCCTTTATAACAATTGTGTTCGAGTTCAACTCTTGGGTCCCGTATAGACTATTCACATCTGTTAATGATGCAGTATTTAAAGAGCATGCATCATCAAGAAGGAATTCCGATCTCAGTCCCTGCAAAAAAAATGTATAAGACAATTCTTTTCTTTAGGAAGAAACTTTTTTACCCCAGAGAAAAGACAATTTTCTTTAAATCGGCAATATGTCTAGGAGTTATTATTTTTATTAAGTAGCTACTTCAACAATGCAGCAATCGACATTATTTTTTAAATAAAATCAGTCAGCAGTCTAATATTTGTTAGATTACATAATTCTATTCAGCCATTTCCTCCTATTACGTAATAAACTGATAGTAGTCAATTTCAAAAACTTTCGAATTGGTTTGTCTCATTTGTAACATAAATATTTATTTAAGAAAAAAAATCAATGTAAGTATTGCAGATCCTTACATGATTAGTGTAATACAGATTTCAGATGAAGTTTATTAAGAATGTCTAGTCAATATAAAATTAATAATTAATTACTTACTTCGGAAAAATACTGATAATCCTTTTCAAATGATAATATAAATATACAAAATATTGCTGCCAGTACATAACTACACAGGGAAGTGATAAGAAGACAAAAGTAAACGCCACTGGTGCCACCTGCAAATATATTATTATTTTATAATAACTTCACTCTAAGAACTCTATTGCTCCTCTATACTACTACATCACTCTGCTTTCCTAACTCCTTCACTCTCGAGCGAACTCCTCACTCAGGAACTCGCTACCCATTAACATCAGACAAGTGTCTAATAAATTTGCTTATAAAAAAAAAGTCCATGAATTTCTTATGAAAAAGTTGTGAAAGTAGTGCATCATAGTCATGTGATTCCGACATAGAATAGGCTACCCCTTCATTTCCCATAGTCATCATAAAAGGCGACTAAGAGAGAGCAAGGAGTGGGCAGCAGTATCCCTCTAAAAACATCTGCAAAGCCTAACTGCGGTTGCCAATCCGCCTGCCAAGCGTGGCAACTACTGGCAAAAATTCTTTACTTAAATTTTTTTTTGTATTGTGATAAATAAAGAATTTTTGTGATCAATAATATATAAATGAAAATGAAATTATATCTAAAATTATATATTTTTGTAAACTAGTTACGTATAAAACTTACTTCTAGGTAAAAAAGAAGTGACAGTTCCAAAAATTGCCATTATGACGAGTAGAAGGAAGCTCACGTTTGCTAGACATTGCCTTAAAATTGACAAATATTTGTCATAATAGAGTGTAGAAATATATGTGGTTATGATGCACTGAAACACAAAAATTATTAAATGCATATGATATTAAATTTATAACAATCTATAGATTATTATAAATTTAATAAATATAGTAGGTTTAATATATCTTATACTAATTAGATATGATATACTGTATTCTGCAAAACATAGCTTGGAAAATTAATATAATCTAAAACCAAAAACAATAAATGCGTTATGAAGTTAATAATTTAGACATGTATTGCTAAATGAACGATCCATTGCCAAAAACTCGGTTAACCAATATATTGTATCAATACACCTATTTCAGTATATTGCATTTTTTAAATTACACATCTAACATTTTGGTAACTTTTGACTTCCTCACGTAAACTTTTAACTGTTGTTTTCTGTTTAACAATTATCGTAATTTTAAGAATTAATATAATTATTTAATAAAATTTTTATCACTGGAATTTTGCAAACTCTTCAAATTACTCACTAAAGTAACTATAACTAGGATGACGCTAAGAGGATGGAATGAGTAATGACAAAATAACCACGTCGTAATGATAGCGACGCTGTCTGTAGGGATTACTCCCCTACATGTCATGTATATGTAATAGGTATAGATAATACCTATTACATATCTGTGACTACAACATGACCATTAAATAAAGTAGTAGTTGCATGCAATTTTTACATAAGTATCATATGAGATTGATATATGTTGATAGTTTCACTAACTGAACGTAATTACTTCTAAGAAAATTAGTCTGTTTCGGTATGCAAATGCTGGGTTCGAAAATACTTGATAGATTAGACTGTCATATGTAAATGTCATATGTATGTAAAATGTAATGTTTTACAACATAAAACATTGTTTCGTCGCCTACCAACGGGCCCCGTTGGTATTTTAGATTTGGGATGAAAACTATTCTAATACTCAAGTTAGACCAAACAATTATTTGCAAAGCTTCATTAAAATCGGTTGAGCAGATTAGGTAACTAACAATATGACATGAGGTTTTTATATATTAAGATAAAAACATTAAAAACAAACCTGCATCCATATATATAGAGTTCCAAATCCGCATATAAAAATACTTAGTGCCGTGAGGCAATGGTTATCTACCTGTAATTGAACAATTTGATTATAAGAATATTATGGTCACTTAGTAATTAAATTACTTGCAATTAATTATTGTTAATAAATAAATATATAATTAGGATTGAAAATAACTATTATAAATAGACATTAAAAACATTGTTAGGGAACCTTACCTTAAATAGGAATAAAAAGAAATAAACCAGGAAGCCCAGTGACACAAAGGAGGCCGAATATGAAGCAATCCTGTTTGCAAATGAAGTAACATTTGGATTTGGTGTTAGTGAGCCTAGCACATGAATTTGCTGGTATCTGTCATAAATGATTTTGCCAGCTGAAAAAAATTGTTAGCACAACACTTAGTATTATTAGTTCTCATTAATGTTGAAGTTTAATTGTTTATATTTTTATTTAATACAACAAGAGAGGATACAGTCCATTCTTAGAGTCACAATAGCAATCACAAATTGAGACCTAATTATTTCACACCATTGGACTGCCAATATTGATATTCCTAGTCAATATTTAAATATGGGAGAGTATATTTTATAATTATGTGTCTGATGATCATTTCAAAAGGGAAATGATAAGATACAAACATAATAATCATGTAGTAATTAATAACAATCTAATCTCAATAATATCAGATGGGTTGTTTATGACTTTGTCATAATCATTACACATTTGCTAATAATTTGAATTAAATGTTTAATTTCCAATTAAAAACAAATAAAAAACCACATCATGAAATTAACGACACAGGCAAGATTATAATAATATATTTTTACCTACATATGCAAAAAGCATGTTTGTAATATTTTTAAAGACTCCATATATCTAATAATAGTCATATTTATAGAAGAGCAGGTGATTGAACATTTCAGCTATGCACACATTTTTTTAAGGGACCAGACGCACTTTAGAATATAATCTTAAATATGAAAAAGTATATAGGTTTTTATTTAATAGTCTTTAAAGGAATAGACAATATATTATTTAAAATTAGTCTAATCACCATGGTTACCACACTATGGATCAAGTGTTTTTAAAATTTTAGTTATTAGGATGTGATTGGTTAATATAAAATATCCTACTAGAACGTAAACATGATATTAGTAAATTAATATTAATAACAATTAAAATATGATAACTTATGGTCAATATATAATAGACAATTTATGGTAGTATGAAAAAGCAGACAATTATGTGAAATGTGTTGGAATAAATTTGTATTATTTTTTTTTTATAATATTTATATAAAATTATACCATATGCTGACTGGAAGGCTAGTAATACATTCAAACACCACGCAGTCAGTCTTTAGGCACAGTATTCATTTTTCAAAATTTACAGACAATTTTACAATACTTTATAATTAAATGATGATAATAATTAGTTTCCCATGGCTTAAAGACACATAAAATTATGCAATAGAACCGTACAATTACTATAAGATCAGTATTATGCAAATACTTAGCTAGACATGTGTTACATTTACTAGGTTTCAACATTACAGTTTACATAACATAAAAACCTCTCACCTATTACTCCGCTGGCAATATACAAAAAAGCAAGGCCAATGTCCAATGAGTTTGTATCTTGTGCAACTTGAAAGCAAACACTGGAATGCAATAAGTAAAAATATTTAATAATTATTTAATACTCTTAAGTAATTATACTTACCTACTACAAAAATTAAGAAAGTGAAAGTAATAAAAAAATTACCAATTATTCATATTACAGATCAATTACTTATACACTTTGTAATTATTTTTTATTGTATTCTATTTAAAAAAGTCTCTCTTTTTCGATTAAAACACTTAAAATAGCTCAGAACTGAGCAATTAATTTCAAATGTAATGTTTATATATTAAAAACTTACGATAATATGTATGTTGACGTTAATGTTACTATTCCGCACTTAAATATCAACATATTACACTAAAATAAATTAAAAATTAGCTAAATTTTTTGTCCAAATATTGTTTACAACATTTGTTATAAAGCTGCTAAATCTGACATTAAGACATTAGTAACTTAACAAAATAAACTAGTAAGTAACAAAACCGACAGTCGACAAGTTGTTGAGCGAGTGAAAAAATGAAATAACTGAAAGTTTTAGCAGCATTCTCTAGCAGAGTGAGGGAATGAATGAGTGAAACACAACCACGAACTTGAATTGTCTAAGGCCGATTCAAGTGAACGCCGTGGTGAAAGGCTAATATTGTTGATAATAAGCTGTATCCCAAGTCTTCGTAATAGTCTGTATCAGTGTATAAAATTATTGTTTTAATCTACCCGTGTACCAAATTTAACTCAAATCCTATGTTATGGGAAACCAAGCAACTAAAATCTGAAGCACAATCCAGAACATTTAAACTCGAGTCATTTCAGAAAAAAATCGTTTAGTAAATTGGTCCGACCAAGAATCAAACGGCGTCAAACACAATCTCATTTACACATAGCAATAAAAAGTACATAATAATAATAATAACAAATAATAAAAATATGTGCAAAAAAGAAACAAAATTATTCATTAGCTAAAATGGATTTATGAAAGGTTTGACATTTTTATGAATAAGGGGTAAATCTACAATGTAGATAATAATATATTACAATATAGGTAATACAACTCTATACAATAATGTAAATAAAGTTTTTGAAATAAATAAGAGCTTTGTTTAGGCACTAACTTCCATCCAAGGCAGTAAAGAAAAAAAAAGAAAGAAATTGACATAGAATGACATACCTGAGACAGATGATTGAATGATTGATTGTTTGAAATGTTTAAAAGTATTATTTTTTTTGTATTGCATATTTATTTCCTATATAGTCTCTCTAATTTTGTATAACTCCTACTCATTTCTTTAAATGAAGAATTTTTTATCACTCATAACAAAAAATTGACAAAAACTACTTAACTTATTGTATCTGTTAAGTTAATAACTTAATAGGTATCTGTTCATTTCATCCAGTTTAAGCTATCCGAAATGTCTACACTCCAACCCATCCACGCTTTGAATTTAGGTGAGTATATAACGCGATTATTTTAAACTTTAAATATTTAATTACTTATAAAAAATGAAGAAGACTAATTACAATTTATGTTTGAATGCGTAGCTAATAATATTTAGATCTTTTAACTCTTCACTTTCAAATTATTCTGTATTTTATAAGTATAGTTATATACTTAAATTGCTATAATAAAAAAAAAAGTATATAAAATTGATTAGAATATTTAGTATTGTGGTCAGTGGGTACCCTTACGGTCCTTAATCAGTTGGTTAACATTTTAAAAGATAGATTTGCATATAATATAGTTGCTGCTTACAGCTTGGTAATAGGTGTATAGATGAAACAAAAAAATGTCAATATATCAATAGGCACTGTTTGAAAAAAGAACTTTGTGCTTGGCCTATACAAAACTTTGTGCCAAAACACTAATATATGATTCACTATTAGTTTTTAAGTTCTTATTGATCAAAAGCCCCCATATTTATAAATATGACTGTGTATAGACTTTCATTTCAAATGTATATTTTGATTATTCTATTCAACAAGTGTCTATCAATTTAATTAGTGAATCAGTTTGGTGATGATAAACGAAAACATATATAACACACATTTCATAAATTAAACTTTTATATTATTTAATACTATGAAGAAGAAAGATTTTTGTTTGTAATATATAAACTAAAAAAAATTGTTAAATAATTTTATAAATTTTTGCACCTCTAGAAAACTACATCTTTATTGATATGGGCTGTATTATAATAAAAAAAAAATGTAAAGACTTACAATGTCTCATTTAGACTACAATAATGTAGAAAAGTAAAGAGAAAAACCCAAAAGTGGCCTTTAAAAGATTGCTGAGCAATATAATCAAACTGCATCTATCTTTCAGTGCCTATTTTAAGAGAAACATGTCTTAAATGTTTCAAAGCTGGTTTTGATGTGTATCTTTATTTAAAAACTATATAATCTTTACTTAACATCTCTGAAATTTATAACCAGGCAGTATGGGACTTTTTATAAACCACAGAATAATATTTATAGATATAGTAAAAATTTGAGAGTGGGTAATTTTAAATAAAAGAGTGTTTTTAATATCATAAAAATTGTATTTTCAATGTAAGTACATAAAATTATACATTTGTTTTATTAGTAACAAAGTTTTAATAGTAAGTTTAACAGTAACATTTATTTGTTTCAAGCAATTCACAATTTTTCAAGAAATATGACTAGATAATATAATTTGTTACTACTTTTATAATATGTATTAAATACACATTTCAAAACCTTATTTATACTTTTCAGATTCAATTCAACAACAAGCATTCATTAAGTACTACCTAACATTGCCAGATGTAAGTAACTATTGTATTATAAAACTGATTAATTTTTTAAATTGTAATTTGACTGCTAGTAATATAAAAGTAAAAGTTTTTGAACTTTTGTATTATTGTTCACTAATATTCAAGTACCTGAATAGATTTCAATAGAACTTGGTACACAAATAAGACATGAATGAATGAAGGTAATATGTTACATTTTTGGATCTTCACCATTTCATGTGTTGGTGGAGGTGTTATATGAATACTAACAACTATAAGTTATAGTAATCAAATATAAGTCATGTTACTATACACAATATCTCCATCCATACATGGTGTGGCGAGGGACCGTAAACGTGTCAAATCACCTTCATCTGTTCATGTCTTCCATTAACACAATTTTTTTCTTTTCTAATGCATGTGGGCAAAGCCGCAAAATAATGTAAATGAAAGAAAATAACCAGTAATCTTATTTTCATTGAGCTACACATCTATATTTTATAAATGTTCTTTTATAGTTATATATAGATAATAATTTAATATAAATAATTCAATAAATATTGTATAAACTTTGAAAGACATTTAAATTAAATATCCATATATTACTAGATGATTTTTATTTTAATTGAAACTTTTTAAAGAAATTTCTATGGTACTATAATATGTATAAAAATAATATTTACAGTGATTATTTAAATATTGTACCTAATTAATTTATTGTGACTTATAATGTATATATGTTTTAGAACTAACTTCTTTTGAACCATGATACAACTTTATCTTTAGCTCCAGTAAATTTATTTCCTACTGAAGCCCAAAAACCTGGCTTTTCTGTAATTGGAAGTACAGTTGAAGTTATCTTATTTGCTTGATTTTCTGTTAGTGTTTGTTTTTCAATATCTTGTTTAATAAATGTATCCAAAGAGTAATATTTTGGATTGTTAATCTCAGAACTTTGAGCAGGTTTTTCATCTTGTTTTATAGTTTCTTGAGACTTATCTCTTTGACTGTAATCAGAGTTTCTACCTTGTTGATTAAAAAACTGATCATCTTTGACTACATACCCATTTATTGGTTGATTAAAATTCTCACTTTGTTGTCCAACATGAAATTGTTCTACATGTTGTTGGTTTAACTTCTCATTCTGGTGTTCAAAGTCGAATATTTGTGCCATATTTTGCTCACTTTGCTGACCAAAACTAGACAATGTTTCAATATTTTGTTGATTAGAATGCTCCTTTTGTTTTCCAATGTCGAATTGTTCTACATTTTGCTGACCAATATCAAATTGTTGTTCTACATTTTGCTGACCAATATCAAATTGTTGTTCTATATTTTGCTGTCCAAAGTCAAATTGTTCAACATTTTGCTGACTAAAATCAGGTAATTGTTCCATATTTTTTTGATTGAAGTTTTCACTTTGTTGTCCAAAATCAAATTGCTGTGCATTATTTTGTTCATTTAAGTTTTCGTTATGTTGCCCAAAATTAGAAAATAGATTCATGTTTTCTTGATAGTTCTCATTTTGTTGCCCAATATCAAACTGTTCAACATTTTGTTGATGAAAGTTCTCACTATGTTGACCAAAGTCAAATTGTTGTTCTATATTTTGTTCATTTTGCTGGCTGAAGTCAGGTACTTGTTCCATATTTTGTTGATTAAAGTTATCACTTTGTTGACCAAAATCAAATTTTTGCCCATTATTTACATCATTTATGTCATGATTTTGATCAAAAGTACTTATCTGTTCCATATTACTTTTTCCATTTTCTTCATTTAAATCTTGACTTTGTTGTATGTTAAATAGTTTGTTACTGTGTTGATTCTCATTTTGCAATGCAATATCAGATTGATGATCTGTGTTCTGTTTATTGGTATCTTTCTTTTCTCCTTCTGTGTATTTAATTTGATTTACAAATGTATTCTGAGCAAAATTTTTATCTTTTTCTCCATTATTTTTATGATTGAATTCCTCGTTTTCATTTTTTAAATCTACAATTTTTTTTTCAATGTTGGTGTGTACTAATTTTTTATTGTTATTCGTTTGTAAATTTTCTACTTGTACGGGTCCTCCTTCTAATATCACATTATTACTGTTATTTAATGTTTCATTAGAGTCGCTGTCATTTTCAACATAAATGTTTTGAGTGAAATTATTTTTAGTTTTATTTGATCTTAATTCATTAAACTCACTTAGAGTTTCAATTTCTTCTGGATATTGTTTATCTTCATAATATTTTTTATGATTGTTGTTTTCTATATTTTCGGATGTTTCTTTAACAATTAAATCTTCTGATGCTATATCGCCACGGCCTACATCTTTATGTTCTATTACAATATCATGGTTTGTTTTCATAGTAGTGCTTGTATTGATATTAGAAGAAGTATTAGATCGTTCTTTTTTATCATCGTTTCGCACCAATTGACTATTTATGGCCGATTTAGATTTGTTATTATTATTTTCTTTTGGGCTTAGTGTTTCTAATTTGTTCCAAAAATTAACTGTGTGTGACGTGTCTTGGTTTAAACTAGAATTGTTGATGGCGTTGTTTTCACTGCTATTATCTAGGTCGTAATTTTTTGAAACTTTGTATGAATTGTCTTGAACTAATTCCCATACCGGTTTAATATATGTATCTTTTTCGAAACTTTGAATATTTCCTTCTTCCGTATTACTCGCCGCTTTTTCTGGTATTTTATTAACATTATAAAAACTTTCAAAATTATTTAATTTATCCCATATGCTTATATGTGAACTATGTTTATTATTTTCTTCATGTTGACTCAAATTAGATTCCGAAATATCAGCGGGAAATTGTTCATGGTTATTTTTTGATTTATTTCTAATTTCTATATTGTCTTTATTTTGATTTTCATTTTCAGATTTTCCTATATTATGCCATTGATTTTGAATTTGTTGACCAAAATTATCTGTATCTTTCTGTTTATGTTGACCAGCATTCTCCAACATACCCCATATATCTTGTTGTTGATCAACATTGCCTATTGTAAGAAAAATAATTTTGTAATATATAAAAAAATGTACAAAACGTTACTTAACTTATTATTTATATCTTTGGTATAATTATGTGTATACTCTATATAAAGCAAAATGTATTGTGTCTGTATTTACTAATAAAGACTCGATATATTAAACATCAATATAGAATGTAAAATTTTATGTAACTAGTTATAAGTCCATACGCTCTATTTCTATAAAAGTAAGAATCCTACTTACTTTGGTGATATTGCTCTCTTTGTTCAAAATTATCAAATTGGTATCCTTGGCTAAATTGACTGTCTGTTTTGCCCCATTGATTTTGAGTTTGCTGTCCGAGATCTTCAAGTTTATCCCAACTATTTTGAGATTGTTGTCCAACATCTTCTATTTTATCCCATTTACTCTGAGCTTGTTGTCCAAGTTCCTCAATATTTTCCCATTTATTTTGAGTTTGCTGGCCTAGGTCTTCTATTTTATCCCATCTATTCTGAGATTGTAATCCAAGGTTCTCAGTGTGGTCCCAGATATTTTGAGATTGTTGACCAAAATCTTCCATATGTTTCCAATTATTTTGTGTCTGTTGCCCAAGATTTTGTAACTCATTCCATTGAGATTGATACTGTTGTTTCTGATCTTCGTCATCATTTTGTTGTCGTTGATAAGCGTTAAATTCTTCTGGGTTTGAGTTGTATGAACGAGCTACGCGACTATGCTCGTCTTCATCACAGTCGCAATCCATTGTGCTGCCACTAGTATAACTTTGATGAGCTTGTTTATAATGAGAACCGTATTGATGTGATGAATAACTTCCATGAGGATTAGATGCAGCACTTAGTCTTTGTGATGTCTGAGCACTGGTTCCACTATTAGAAGTAGGTATGATGACATAAGGATCGCCCTGTCTTTCCCACGATTTATGGTATGAATAAGATGATTGATAACTTTTGGGTCTCGAGTTTGTATCGAGTTTTCTGAGAAGGTCAGCATCAACAACAGAATTAGCTCCACTATGTGTGTATGCGTTAGCCTTGGAGTTAGACGATGAGCTTTGTTGATATTGAGAGTTATAGTCAGATTGATGCCTCGATTCACTAGATTTAGCCGATTCCACATTTGAACCATACTTATAAGCATTCGAATTGTGAGAATTTGATCCACTTGCGTAATATTCGTCGTCACTTCTCTGAGCTGCTTGCAAGCGCTGACTCTCTGTAGGAAAATCCGTGACACTTTCTGGATTGCTATTATGTTTTTCCCATTCCTTATGATAACTATATGATGATTCGTAATGTTTATTATTGTTAGGGTAACGATGATTTGTTTGTTCGTTACCATTTGTTAATACTTCAGCTTCACTTCTTGAATCACTGTTATGATAAGAAGATGCACTATGACCAGCGTCATATGTTTCTGATGCAACTGGTAAAATTACCTTGGTTCCAGGTCTGATCATGATTTTCATAGGCGTTGTATTTATTAATCTATTTCGTGGATAATATCTATAGCCGGATGAATGGCCATATGCATCAGATTCACTTTGCTCATATGCATTGTTAGCATTTTCCAAGTGACTGTTGCTAAAATCAGATGAGTGACTGTATGCATCAGATTCACGTTGTTCATGTGCTTTATTTGAGCTTTCCAAATTTCTGCTGTAACCAGATGAATGACCGTGCACATCGGATTCATGCCGTTCATATGCATTATGTGCATTTTCCGTATGACTGCTTTGCATGTCTTGCCGTAATTGTTGGGAACTTCCATGTCTGTAACTATTACTGTACCTATTAGAGTTGGACAAGTGTTCTCTGTACGCAGAAGTTTGCGATTGGTTGTCATCAAAAGATGCACTTTCTTGAAAATTACGACCTTGTAGGTTGCTGAGGTCAAAATTTCCGGATCCATAAATACCTCTACTATTTGCTGCAGAAAAGACACTTCCGGTTCTTGTTCTCGATCCATCGCCAAGTTCTCCTTCAACTTGTCGGACGAGACCGCTCATCTGATGCTGTGCTAGTTTATCCATATTATGAGCACGTTCGTAATTTCCTCCCATATTTCCTCTTTGAGCATCATAATATCCGGACTTTGTACCCTCGTCTGAAGAGCTCCTTGAGTATTGAAAATCCTCTTTTTCTTTATATAATTCAGGTCTAGCGGTAGTTAATGTTATCACTACTGCTATGAGGATTAAGCTCCTCATCTTGAATGCAATTCCGGTCTGAAATTTAAATATATAAAAATTATATATATTTTTTTAATATTATTATTTCTAGTAATTTACTATAATTAAAATTGAGGTAAGAATAACTCAAAAACCGTTATCTCTAAATATTAGTTTATTTTTTTAAGAATAAAATTTTAGTATCAAGTAGGTATAGATATTAGGAATTAATTATTAGCATACCTACTTAGTTTCACTACGCAATCACAGAATAATCAGAACGTAAATGTATGATTAAAGTTTTTGCCTGCAACTTTTATGTCACTAAGAATTTTTAAAGGGATAAACAGTATCCATCCCAAATAGTATGTGTATATCAAATTTCATGACGATTGGTTGAACTGTTAACGCGTTAAAGGTAACAAACACACAAAGTCACTTTCACATTTATAATAATAGTAAAGATTGTTGTTAAAAATATAAAAATCTATAGAACAATAGGACTTAAAATAGATGAAAAAGTTCACAAAAAAAAAATTGCAGCAATATTACATTTCGATTATAAAAGAAGTTATTTCCTAATTAATTCATAGATTTAATGTGTATATTAATTTTATCGACACACAAAATATACGCACCTCGACAGTGTATGTTAAATATATATAATTCTTGAATAGTCACACCACGATCGTTGCGCACAAACAAGCACTGACATTGCCTGATCGAGGTACGCCAATTTATTGTGCTTTAATTTTCTATCTCAAGTAAGATAACCTCATGCCAGGTCATGAGTGATATTGTATTCTGAGAAGTATGGACGCGCAAAATACAGTGGTGATTTAAATTACGTATAAATTAAAAACCACAAAATCCTTGAAGAGCCAGGACACTAATAATTAGTCACTGTCTGTTTGGTCAAGTTTTTTATTTCGGTATGATTCAGTAATATGACTTCATTCCTTCTGCGACTTATGTCATATTTCGTACTTATTTGCAAAGTGCAATTGCGTGGGATTTATAGTGTGGATTTTGTGGAGTCCTTTGTAAATAATTACATTTAAAAGCATTGCCTAAGTATAACTCTTGTGATGAACTTTATATACACTTTATTAGATAAATTCCATATTACATACTACTTTTTACCCGCAACTACGTCCGCATGATTGGAATGTATCCAGACCGGACTTAAAAATAGACTATAATTTTCTTCATCCCATATTCTACCTGTGTACCATATTTCATGACGATAGATTGGGCCGTTAATACGCCAAGCAACAATATATAAATTTACTATCTCTAATATCACTAGTGTTAAAAGTAACGAAATGTACCTATATTAATATTTCATATCGTACTAATAAGTAAAACGTATTTTGACTGTATAAGAAGGTGGAGAGTCTCAATATTTATTTTTGTACAACTTCGTTCCCGTGTCCGGATTATATTAATTAACCAGGATAATAAATAGTCTACATAGATATCCTGTTTTATACAAAATACTCAATGTATGTCCAATCTTACGGTAAAAAGCCGAGCCAACAAAGCGCTAAGAGGTAATCGATTTAAATAAATCTATTTGTATTACAATTGATTACTTCCATATCATAATTGTCATACATGAAAATTTATTTTATTCTCAACACGTTAAGTATTCCAGTAATTACTATTATTTATTTAATAAACAATAATAAGAAAGATAAAAAAATAATGATATAAATAATCTTGACATTGCTCTTATTATAAAATCTAGAACACATTCCAAGTATACAAGAAAAAGTACTGATATTAGTATATAGAGCGATTCTCGGAATATGTAATATTATTTGTATTTTTTAGCTTTTCATTTTTTATAGGAAAATTTTAATACTCTTTTAAAATTATCCCTATATCGCCTGTTTATCATAGAGGTGTAAAGAGTCTAATAGGGTTTTAAAAATACCCTAATGCTAAAGTAATTCTTCTATTAGTAACTTTAAGATTAGCAATGAACCATCGGCTCCCTGCAACACTTGAGGGCGTTATTCCATATGATCGAGATTGAGGTGCCACGCTATACTTCGCTATACATGATCCTCACTCGAAGACCTTGCTTCCCCATCGGTTATCATTTACTTGAGCTAAATGGTCGCCCTATTTACTGTATATAGCAGAATCATTTATTACCTTTTTAATTTAATGAGTAAAGAGGCCAATATTGCAAATAGGAAGTATATTTTCTAATACTGTTTGCAGTATTTGTGAATGTTTAGTGTCCATGTCCAACTAACCATTTAATGACACAGTAATTATGTTTATCTTGATATTAATGTCTATAGTGCTTGTATAAATCACAGTTATATCTATGTCATATTCCATGTCTTGTGCAAAATAAAACTGATTTTTCTATTTGTAATATAACCCTCACAAATTTTTATTAAATTTATAAAATATATTGAATTTATATTATATAAATTCAACATCCTTCAAATATTTTATAGCACAAAGTTATTGATGTCATTGAACATCTACATTTTATGTTTCAGAAACCACCAACCACTGTAAGAATTTTTGATCGAAATGATTACTACAGCGTTCATGGCGTGGACGCGACCACAGCTGCAAAGGAAGTCTTCAACTCAATTTCAAACATTAAGAAAATGGGCATCGAACCTAATCGGCTCGATTACTTAGTACTGTCAAAAGGAAATTTTGAAATACTTATCAAGAAATTGTTATTGGTGAGATAATATTCAAAGTACCTGAGTGTTTTTAGACTCTTACCGTTTGTGTATATATATGTATATACACTAGATTTTAAGTTTGACCTTCAGGAACACGTGTGTGAAAACCACATTAAATTTCGTGCAGTACTTTTTGCGTGATACGGATAGACAATAATTCAAAAATCTTGTTTTGTCTTTCATTGCACGTGTTAAAACCACTCATATATATGTTTTTTTCTTAAATAACTCCAATGTGGAGCATATTGAAAATAAAATTTAAATATGTAAATAAATACTTATCTGTAAACTTTTAATATTATCCATACAATTTAAATCATAAGTTCAATCAATAAGTTATTATAGACAGCTGTTGATGTGTTTACATATTTATTTTATTATTATTGTTATCGTACTAACTTTATCCATGACGCGAAATTCTTATTTGAATTTTATTATTTTTTAATGTATGATTCGATTTTTAAATAATTTCTATTGAGAATCAAACATATTATAAACTTTATTAATCAAACATATTAGAAACATAATCCCTGTTGAATTTTGTAGTATTTCAGTCTTACTTAAAAAATATATTGTACCTTTGTTTAAACACATTGTACAATATCGTACTTTTACTAAGAAAACAAAGTAACAAATTCTTTATTTATTCAAATAGATTAATGGATCAAATGGATAAATATCCAATTAATTAATCTATTTTTTTATAAAAATTGATAAAATTTTCATTAACATCTGGTGAAATAGATTTTTACTATATAAAAATCTTTTTAGCTTTCTTCGTAAGTTTTTGGACATTGGGAGGTAAAAGGATAAATTGTTAACTGTTTTTTTTTTTTTTTTATAGTTTACTGCACTAAATGAAAATGTATTCTGACTTCACAAATAATAAAATACAGAGATGAATACACTGTTACACAGTTACCATTATTTCCAAGTATTCAAGGTAATTTGATTTCTTGAATACTTGGAAGAAGGTGATAGGTAAATAAGAATGATGGATTTATCTCTGTGTTATATTATAAAAATGTATTTACAAATAATTTTCTGACGAACAATCTTATTATTATAATCTTATATATCAACATCAATTAACTGTAGTGTGTTGACCTTAAAATATTATCTCAAACCGTGTTTTATTATTAATTAATATTTTATTACTAGTATAATACAAATAGTACTGCTGTCCTTATACTCGTATTTATTTGTAGCTAGCATTTCCGTAAGTGACGGTATAGTATATATTATAGTACTTAATATATAATACAGATATGATAGCTAATTCGCACTAGTTTGTCTAGATCAATTGACTGCGAGAGGGAAACAATTTCTTAAATAAATATATAATTTATTATAATAATCTATATTATTATAGGTTACAAGGGCCTAATTTGTTAGTAACATAATCTCAGCTTAATGTTAGTACATTTTACAATAAAATAAATAAACTAAAAAAAAATTAAAAGGATAATTAGTATTGCGTCAAGAATAGATATTTCCCCCATCGAATTGTGGATAGGAGGAATTCGATTCTCACAAGTTCTGTTGTTAACTAGCGCCTGATGTTAATTATGAATAATTTAAAATTATTGTCGATGTTAACTCAGTAAGGTTTGATTTTTCGGTGACCTTTAAAAAAATCGAACTTAGCTAATGACTCGTGAGTATCAGCCCCCTAGAAGAGTGATAAAATGAATCCATCGATGGAATCATTATTGCTAGCTTAGTCCATGTGATAGAATGAGATAGCAACGTCCCATTTCTCATTTTACATCGACAGCAAGTAGTTTGGTAATTATAAGCTGTTAATTGTATGGCTGCTTTATACTTAAAATATGTTTTGTCACAGGTGAGGCGGTACAGAGTAGAAATTTACGTAGCAGAAGGATCCGTGAAGAGCTGTGACTGGGTCCTCAAGTATAAAGGGTCACCTGGTTGTCTCACACAATTAGAGGAAGTGCTCGGAGACGGATTGGGAAGTTCTGAAGAAAATACGCCATGTTTAATGGCTGTAAATATTAAGATAGACCCTGTATCAAAGGTACATATATATTTAAAATTTATTACCAAATCGCAGTGTTTTGTATGAATTTCTTAGAAAGTACACAACCGTTACAATAGATTTGTTGAACCTGTAAGGGCACTGTGAACTGTAAAATTTTGTGAATTTCTGGTATATAGGATAAGTTGTAAATAGTGTACTAAACCGAAATCTTATATATTTATAAAACACGTTTGCTTTTTTAAGTCAGAATTGCCCAGATATAAAAAGTAAAAAAAAAATTCTTTACTACATCCTGGACTCCGTTGCTAATAATATACCTTCAGTAAATTAACAGTCAGATATTCTATTAATATGTAAATTAGGTATTTATTTATTTTGTATGTTCTGTAAAATAATACGATTAAAGACGTAGAAACTAGATTCTTACATACATAATCATAATTTGCACTTCACGTGTCAATTAATCCAACTCTAACTGGCTAAGTGGTAGTCACGTTTTATAATATAATTAACAGTTGTTCGCGATTTCCTCTGCACTATTTTTTTTGTAGTCGTTTTTAGCGATCTAAAAACTTCTACCAAAGAAGAAAATAATTAAACAATACAAATCATAAGACTGCATAATTTTAAATAACTTATTAAGTTAATTACATGATACAAGTATTCATCCGCGACTACGTTCGTGTGACCGTTATAAAAAATAGCTTGATGTCCTTCTCTATCCTAAACAAATAAAAAATATACAAAATCAGATTTTAATAGATGAGACATGTTCAATCTATCACGCCATCAGAAAAGAAAAATTTAAATATTTTTACAAAGTTTTTAAATTTTAGTATAAGGAAAAAAAATACATCCTACAATATAAAAAATATAAATAGTTGTGTATGATATGTATAAACAAGTACATAGTTAGCAAAAGTAACTTGCTTTGAAGATAATAATAATAAAACCTTGTCACAATGTTGTATTATCGCTTAGACATCACCATATTATTAATAAATATCATTAGTTTTGCATATGGTAGATGTTTGTGAAAATTTTAAACATTACACCACGATGAACAGATTCATCATCATCATCATATCAGCCGTTAACTGGCCACTGCTAAACATAAGCCTCTCATCATTAGGGAGTTTTACCAGAAGTTGCTATGCTTGGCAGGCGGCTTGAAAACCGCAGTTAGGTTTTGGTTATGTTTTAAGAGAGGCGCTGCTGCCCATGCCTAGATCAATAAGTTCCCTTAGTTGCCTCCTACGACACCTGCGTGAAAGGAAAGGGTGACCTATTCTATGCCGGGACTACACAGCAATGAACAGATTATCCTAGTACTAATATAAATGCTAAAATTTGTAAAGATGGATAGATGTTTATTTCCGCTTGATATAAAAACTACTAAACGAATTTGAATGAAATTTCGCACAAGAATAGGTTATATTCTAACTTAACACACAATAACTTTATATACTGATCCATCCGGTAAAAGTTGGGGAACTTATGTTGTTGGTTATTTAAAATCCTCATAACAGTTCGGAATTTAAGTAGAAATGCAAAAACTGAAATGTAGTTCGATACAATAGTTTTGTATTTATTCTAATTTTGTTCTAACTGTACGCTAAATGTACTTTATTATGTCAAAAATTATTTGTTGCTGTTAGTATATAGGCAGGGGGAGGCACAAAAGATCCCGATGGGTCGACGTGCAACGGCTTAGCTGACCCCATATGCGAATATAAGATAAGATAAGATGTAATACCTAATTAAAATGTATTAAATTCTATCATTGTATTTTAGTCTATACCGTATTCCATCTTTATTATGCTATGAAATACAGAATGCTGTGTCTAACAACATACCATAACAAATCATGTTCATTCATTCACTCAATTGCGTGTCACACACTTATTCTTTGATCGGTAGCTATGATGCCGTAGACAAACAAACTTATACACAGTAAAAGTCAATAAGACATTTTTATGAAATTGTTTGCATTGTTTATTCAGTTATTTTAATTAAAAAAAATGTGGCTTAAAGAAAGATTCGATGTCATGTAATATCTTCGCCAATACTGAATCGATTGTAATGATTCTTTTTGTTATTTATAGCATACACTCAATACTCAAAATATCACTATTAAAGTTTTTTTTTTTTATTATATTTATTTATTGTTTTTATATGACCTCCAAAGCAAGAAGTTATATATTTAAAAAAAAATATGTCTTTCGAAAGGATGAACAAATTTGTAATCATCACCTATAGACATGAACATACAGTTAAATAAACGACATAAAAAATAAAATTTATTTGATAAACGATATAACCATCTCTTTTTGAATTCCAGGGTCGTCTGTTAGGGGTTGCGTGCATATCGCCTGGCGAATATGAAATGTCAGTGACCGAGTTTACTGACGACGATTTACTAACTGAATTGGAGACAATCACGGTACAAATGGCACCTTCGGAATGTCTTGTTCCACAGAGCGATCACGATGACGTAAGTCGTAAATATAAATCATTATTAAATACGTGTATATAATAATGGTATATTCGTAAATACGTACATTATTACTCATAGAAAACATCCAAAATAATACAAATAGACATATTAATGAATGTAATGCGTTCATTGTGCGGGGATTGAGCTCGCAACCATTTTGTCTCTACTATTACAAATAACCGTTTTTGTAAGTGTAATATTAGTATATTACACTTATAAAAACGGATATTTGTAACATACTCGCACACGCACACATATACATATTCGTCTCTCATTGGGGTAGATAAACAACGGAATGCCAAATACTCAAATTCATCTCTTTCGCTTCCTCCACATTCATTTATTCAGCTTGGTCCTCTTAACTCTGTTCACAGACGGACTATGAGAATTATTGAAGATCCCAAGCTCGCAGGCGATATCGAGCCCTTAATAAGGCGCGACTTTGTATGTTTCACTGTTTGTATAATGGATTGTGTTCTGAGGAATTGTTTGAAATGACGTCCATATCATTTCAAACAATTTCTCACACCTTTTATCATAGCACTGTTCACCATTGACAGGGAATTCATCCTCACACACAACAGTATTGGGTTCTTCAAAAAGGATATATTAAAGTATTTTTAGAGTTAGCAACGCGCACGTGACACCTTTAGTGTCGCAGGCGTCCATAGGCTACAGTGACCGTTTACCATCAGACGAGCTGTATGGTAGTTTGCCACAAAGCTTAAAGCAAATAAACGACGTCGAACGCTATTTCTGCCCATTCCAATTAAAAATTAATTACACGCGTTATACGTATATAAACACTTAGTTGATAATTTATGTTATTTCCAGTATAAAGCATTAAAAAAAATTATGGACCGGGCAAATGTGACAATAACAAAGTTGAAGAAAAGTGAATTCTCTGTGGAGGGTCTCACTCAGGATCTAAACCGCTTGCTTAAGTTCAAAGAGAGTCAGCAACAGGACGCAAATGTGTTCCCCGAGACAAGGAAGCGAACAGCCATGGCTTCATTAGCAGCCACCATTAAGTATACCGGCTTATTGACGGACAGTACAAACTTTGCAAGGTATTTTTATTTTTAATTACAACGTTTTGCTTTGCAATATGAACGAAGTGATATTTTGTACACAATACATTGAAAGTGTTTCAATTTAGGCATAACACCAAGGACTAAAGTGGAGAGTATGAGAGAAATAATCGAGTAGTTTATTGTTAAGTGTTATAAATGAAATAGACATTAAACAAGAGTTTTTGCTTCGCAAAATACGAATTGCAAAACTATCAAAACCAGACGTATTTATTCCTTAAAAAAATGCTTGAAAATAGTTTTGATCTACCCCGTAATCGATTCTGGTGTGAATATAATCCTTACTATTATTATAAATATTAACCAAAATAGATAATATCAGTGAAAGAGAAGAAAATTTCAAATGAAAATCTATACTAAGCCATTAAGTAAATGTGGTAATAGGGGAATAATACCTTTATGTTTTTGTTATGGAATAAATGCAAGACCAATAGTTGGACTATAATGCGTTGTTCCGGATTAATGGATCAATGTTAAATGTAACCTTATTTTGATTTCATCATATGAATATTCAGGTTTCGCATCCGCACGATCCAAGCGGATTGTTTCCTGCACTTGGACACGGCGGCACTCGCCGCCCTCAACGTATTCCCCGAGCCTGGCGACTCTAGTAATGCACCATCGCGCAGCCTCTACGGCCTACTGGACCGTTGCCGTACACAGCACGGGAAGAGGTAACCATATTTGTAATGTTAACATGGTAAATGGTACATAAGTAGCTTTAATATTATGATGTGAACAATCAAATTTTACTCGGCAATCCACATGCATGTTATATATACAAAATAAGATAAATCACTACATAGTATAAAACAAAGTCGCTTCCCGCTGTCTGTCCCTATGTATGCTTAGAGTATCAGCATTGCACCCGTGCCAAGCCGTGGCCGGGGCACTAGTAATAAATAAAATAATAGCCTAATAAGTGTAAATTAACCATCGGTTAACCGAAGATTGAAGACTCTGTCCTTATATTGTAAACAACCTATTTTATTAAACAACATTGCATTCCATTTTATAATTCTTATAGAATAAAGGTAGTTTATAGAGTTAAGTACTTTAGTATACGTAGTTTCTATCATTATAACTTGAAAAAAAAGACAAGACTTGGGATAGTATAATTCTAAAAAAAAATATATATGTGTAACAACAATTTGTTCATTATACTACAGATTTTAAGTACATTTCAGATTGTCTGTATCTATACGTCTTTTTATTCCAATTGTAATAGTAATAACTGATATGTCTTGTCCACTCAGACTTCTAGCCCAATGGTTACGGCAGCCCCTTCGTGATATAAATTTGATCAACGAACGGCTCGACATCGTAGAACTGTTGATGAACAGCTCCCAGCTGAGACTTCAATTGTATGATGACCATTTACGGCGGATACCAGATTTGCAAGCACTGGCCAGGCGGCTGACAAGGAAGAAGGCCAATTTGCATGACTGTTACAAGATATATCAGGTGAGAATTTTGTTTATTTAAAAAAATGTTTTGTGCATAAAAAGAAGGGATAGTCAAGGTATGTACAAATATTACAAATTATAATTGTATATGTGCATATTTTTTATAAAGATTTTAAACTGTATAAAAATGTATTTATGTTCATTAGTATTTATAATCATAGGTATAAAGATTATTAATATCTTCTGTCGCATTATGGCTATGTGCAATCAATTACAAACTATCGAAAATGAACAGCTTTTCAAATTAATGAAATGAGAGTTTTAATAAAAATGTACGAAGTCCGAATATACTCAGGAGTATCGTGTGAATACCTGCAAGTATTCATCGTTCAACAATTCATATCACATTTATTTATTTATTCATTAGTACATGTATGTGTAGAAGACGGACTTAATAGTAAAAGCATTCTCTTCCAGCCAACCTTAGGGATAAGGAACACATTTACCTAATTAAATCATTTACCAGTATTTAATCTGAGTTATGTACAATAAAGATTTTTACAATTACAATTACAATAATTAATTTAGTTAGGGTAAATATTATATTAATTTAAAAAGCAAGAAATTAAAATAAATCTAAGGTATAAATTAAACTATAATAATTTCACACACTTTTTTTTATATACATTTTTCGTAACAGGCAATAAATAGGCTGCCATCATTGCTACAATGTTTATCTGAAACAAATAATGCAACAGTCCACTCGTCTCTATCTGAACCAATATCAGAGCTTAATGAAGATCTTAATAAATACCAGCAAATGATTGAAGCTACTATTGATATGGACGCTGTGGAAAGAGGTAAGCACATTAGGTTTCAATTGCTATAGGAATAAACAATGTTTCGTTCAGTTTTAATCTTTTTAAGATTGTATTTTAGCGAAACCTTATATTAGCTATTAATATAAAGCTTGATAATTTATACACTAATTAATTGTCAAGTTTTAAATATACTTCTTTAATTTAATTGTAGCTTTTAGTATTAACACTGTTTTTGCTCAGTAAAATGCATTTAGGTATGAAACTCAATACTAGATGAATAATTCCTAAACATTTCTGGCAACACATATGGCAACATTTAATAATAATTTAATTCGCACATAACCCATATGTTTGTTAGTAAGAACATAAAAATGTCAACAGTTATGCTAATTACACTTTTAGTTTCTTATTTTTTTAAACTACAAATTTAATGCTTGCTTTTGGATAGTAGATTATCTCTGCATGTAATTTTTTTTTTTTCATATTAGTATTATTTTTTCATCACAGGTGATTTCCTAGTAAAACCATCATTTGATGAAGAACTTCAAATCTTGAGCAAACAGTTAGATAAACTACAGTCTTCAGCCGAGAAAGAATTAAACAAGACTGCCAAGGACTTGGATCTTGCGGTTGGCAAAACCATCAAATTGGAAAGTACTCCACAAAATGGATTTTGCTTCCGGTATGTTTACTATGATAGTGAAGTTCTTTTCTTTTTTAATTATTGTTAATTTACAATTTTATTAACTATTATTATGAGTATTATTAATAATATATATGTATTCTTTATTGCGCTTGTAAAAAAAGTAACAGTGATTAGTTTAACAACTTGTTAAGTTGTAAGGGCGGTCTTATCACTAAAAGAGATCTCTTCCAACCAATATATTTTAGAGTGAAACCATTTGCGATTTTGAGTGAAGTTACGAAACATATAATAATCTAAAACTGTCAAATGATAATTCCTAATCGCAGTTTCAATCTAGTATTATAGCACAATCAAGTTGTAATTATACTTGATTGGGTTGGAGATATACCTGTATAGCAATATGTGTATATTGTAGTTACAATATGTATATTTTGGCCAGATAACGGATATATAAAAGGTCGCAATGAGAAGCCCAATAAATTCAATTCAATTCAATTTATTTATTGCATTCTACAATATTATTATAAAAGATGTTAGTAATTGATATAGTACATTGTAGACCCTGTTGGGTACAGCAATTAGAAGCGAGGAGGGCGTCGATCCTTACATTTCTATATAGATTTTAATAATTAAATAATTCAATTTCAATTTCATCAGTGTAATGAAATCTAATTAAAATCCAAATTAATTCAATTATGTTAACGATTTTTTTTTGTTTCCATATGTTTTATTTTAATTTAATTTTAATTTTTTTTTAAATAGATATTAGTGCACCAGTTACTCGTGTCTTATTGAATCCAGTTCGTAATATGCCAATGACATCGATATATTAACTTTTAGACTTTCGCGCTACATGTTTTATAAGAGACGAGAATTTTTTAGCGTTAACTATGATAATTTTCCTGGATTATCATAGTTCACATAAATGATCGTGTTCATTCCCATTTTTTATAAGACTTTGATATACTAATTCGATGTGAAATTTTATGCATTTTTTTTTTTTTAGTGTAACATTAAAAGAAGAGCAGTCACTTCGAGGTAATAAAAAATACACAATAATAGACGCTGTAAAAGGAGGCGTAAAGTTCAAATCAAACGCCTTGGGCTCCATAAATGAAGAATATATTCAAGCGAAATCTACGTATGAAAAAGAACAAGACAAAGTTGTTTCGGAAATAGTCGCTATTGCTGGTAAAATTTGAAATGTTATCTTTTAATACTTAACAATAATTTCACCCCTAGACAAGTGGCAAACAAATTTGTCGATAGATACATTATCGCTAACGCATGTTTACGATGGAACGAGACAGCAAAGTTTTGTTTTTTATTGCGTACACACTAATAAAAACGTCAATTCTAATAGATTCTTATGTCGTGTGTCTAGCGGGGCTGACGCTTGCGTTAGGTACCCAGAGCTGTCAAAATGATTTTTTTTTTCACATATTTGTATCTATAATTAAAGTTGTAAGTATTACATAGCATTTTTTATTCTACAATTTGGATTTATTTATAAACTGTCCTATCATTTAAAAATAATGCAGGTCTTACGTTTCAGACCCTTCACAACTCTTTAAGACACCGTAAGTGTTTTAAATACATCACAATCATCATCATGTTAACTGTTCACTGCTGAACATTTGAGACCCCCCCCCCCCCCCGCGCGCTGTTTTGCCAGTAATTGTCCCCCTTTGGCAGACGGATTGACAATAGCGGTTAGACTTTGGTGATCCTTTAAGAGAGACGCTGCTGCCCATCCCTCGACCATTAAGTTTCCTTAGTCGCCCCTTACGACTTCCACAGGAAAGGAAGGGGTGGCCCATTCTTAAATACATACTAAGTAAAATATCTATTCCTTTATAGGTAGCTACTCAGAATGCTTGTTCTGCCTGTCCCATATTCTGTCCCGGCTGGATGTGCTCGTGGCTTTCTCTGTAGCTGCTACGACGGCGCCCTACCCGTACTGCCGGCCGACCATCACTGAGAGCATTGACGAGTTAGAATTGAGGGAAGTCAGGCATCCCTGTCTAGAGGTCCAGGAAGGCGTTTCTTTTATACCTAATGATGTCGTCTTCAAACGTGGTAAGTTTAATATGTTCTTTTTGTTTATATTACAACCTCTTCTTCAAAACAGCCGGAAATTGTAGTCGCAGAACAATTTGTATGAAGCTGTTCATGTGAACAGACAGTGTGGGTAGATCTACCAAAAAAACATGAGGTCTTGAAACTTTACTAAATGTTTTGTCACTGCGAAATGCCACGTAATTTACACAGATATTAACACAACTTGTTTGATTAATCTGTCCATAACTAATATTAATAATCATACGAGAATGTCTTCATCTCAGACTTTTTAAGCCGCCTCCATTGTATATAAGTCCTATTAATAGTTTAGTTGCATTAAGCAATTAGTTTCCTAATATATCGTAATAATACGTTCCCCCAATATACTCGTATAAAGTATAATATACGAGTATATTGGGGAAACGGAATTGTTAGTAATGGGGTCTTAATGCTTCATTGCTAGCAATATACTCTATCAGCTCGGTTTCCACGCGGTTCTCCCTATAAACCAACATGGTTAAGTCTTCTTGAATTTGTCATGATGGGCTAACTGGCCTGCATTCATTCTCGTCTGCCATCTCTTACTGGTGCCCTGCTAGCGTATACCGCAAACATAAGCAGAGTTACCATTTCATTTTCACCCATTAAAAAAATACATTGCTAGTTTCCATTACTAGCAATTAATGGTGTTGTTGCTAGCAATATATGACCAAGGTCTATCTCCACACAATCTCTCTTGACACCTATTGTTGTTACCACACCGTAATATATCAGGCATTAATTGTCCATCGCTGAACTTAGGTCTCCTCCTACTGGGAGGTGTCGTTGTTGGCTCCCAATAAATTCGTCATTATGAACCAACTAACCTGACTTTATTCTCAATTATCATACCTAGTGAGAATTAATAATTGAGAATAAAGTCAGGTACCAGTGATACAGTGGTATCAGTCGTGGTACCAGTGGGAACCATGTCAGCGTATACCGACAATGCAGAAGAGTTAATGATACTGTTTTCATTTAAAAAGAAAATTGTCATAATTGAAAAATTAATTTTGAAAGTATTATATTTTATTTAGTTCCAGAAGATATGACAGATGCACCTTGCTAAAGCATAAATGAATAACGTTATTATAACAAAATTAGGCTGAACGGCTTAGTTCTTTCGTCTTTCCCATTCAGGATACTACTTTTTTTTTTTCACAGGGTCAGGTATTATGCACATAGTGACGGGTGCGAATATGGGCGGCAAATCGACGTGGATGCGTGCGTGCGGTGCAAGCGCACTGCTGGCGGCAGCAGGTTGTGCAGTACCTGCGCGTGTAGCCCGCCTGCCGCGCTTGCGCTGTATCGCTGCACGCGCTGGCGCAACTGATCGCGAAGATCGCGGCCACAGCACATTTATGCTTGAGATGCTAGAGTGCGCTGCCATCCTCCGGGTAACATCTTACTACTACTACTAATACTAATACTACTACTACTGAGGGGAAAGGGATTGTTAGCAATGGAGTTTGACAGCCCCATTGCTAGCAATATACCCTATTAGGTCGATCTCCACATGATTCCCCCTGGATACCACCGTGAACAATTCTTGTTAAATTCGTCACAATGGACTAACTGACCTACTTCATCCTCACCTTTCATCCTTCACTGGTGCCCCGCCGGTGTATACCGATAGCGCGGGTGGGCCTAACATTACATTATCACCCACTAAAAAAAAAAATACTACTACTAATTGTGTGAGGCTGTCTTTTTAGTGTATAAAATTTCTAGGTCATCATTATACATTAAGACCTCTGACATCGCTTACCGAAGGACGGCTTAACGATTTTTTACCTTGTCGCCTATGTGCCCAGCATTTTTCTTAGAAAATGGGTCATCTTTTTTGTATTAGGGAAGCAAACGAACAGATGGTCCACCTGATGAAAAACGGCTACCATCGCCCATGAACACCACGAGCGGAGTTGCTTGTGCGTTGCTAGCCTTTTAAATGTTTGTAGGAAAGTTTTTTGAAATGCCCTGTATTATATTGTAAGGGGAAAACTGAATGCGGAAGCTCATTCTACAACCTAGATATAGTATTAATATAATAATACAATACTAGTAATATTGATACATTTTGAAGTCCCCTTCAAACTTAATATATCGTTACTATTTCTTATAAAATTATATATGCATTTCAGACTGCCACACCAGATTCCCTAGTGCTTATTGATGAATTAGGACGGGGCACTTCCACTTATGAAGGCTGCGGTATAGCCTGGGCTATAGCAGAGTGAGTAAATTATATATATATATATATATATATATATATATATATATATATATATATATATATATATATATATATATATATATTTTAAATAATCGATTAATTACGTTCATTTCGGATTATACTAATCGGAATTATCTGTTATAATTTTTTAATGCACGAATTGTCCTATTCTTATAATAATAAAGTCTTAGCAAAATGGTGTACGAGTTTCCTACATCATTTTGGTATTATTATTATTTTTGTAATGTTATTCTTAAATATTTAATCTAATGAAAAATTAAATATTATTAGGGAGCTGGCGACGAAATGTCAATGTTTCTGCTTGTTCGCGACACACTACCATGAACTGACGCGACTACCAAATCTTCACCCTGGCGTTATTGTTAATTCCCACGCGGAAGCGTTCGTGGTCGACCAACAATTGCTTCTGATGCACAAGATCTCGTCCGGCCCGGCGACGCATTCTCTAGGTCTTCACGTCGCCAAACTTGCAGGTCTACCAGAATCTGTGATTAAGGTACATTTTTTTTTTTTTATTTACACACACGTAAGACTATTCTCGGCACACAACATGGACAAAAAGGAGTGATAATGGAGCTCATCTCTTTGCCGCTAAATAGCTGTTTGCATGGCTATGTTTCAGGTTTAAGAAAATATTGTGGTGAGATTATAGGATACAGAAGCATGACATCTTAGTCCTCGGAAATAGCAATGCATAAGAATATTACAGGTCACAGGTAGTTCATGTCTATACACGAAAATTATCACTTTCCATCAGATGGGCTTTTAGAACGATATTTACAATTCCTTGTTGCTAAAAAGATTAAAATTTGTCAATCAATATAGAACACAGCACGTACGTATAAATCTATACTCGATACAACGGTGAATTGAATTGTCCTTGAAAAAGAAAATATTTCCTGCTGATTCCAAATATTAAGTTTTCATTAAATTGTTTTTATAGTATGCCGAAACTAAGCAAACACAACTGGATACCAATCTGTATGAAATAGAGACTGCACTGAATTCACAAGATACAACAGAAGGTCAGCACCTTATTACCAACTTTCTGCTAAGCTGTAAACAAATACAAAATTCCACTTCCTCTGATGAAGAGATGTTGAAAGAAATAAACAAGCTTAAACAAGATATGCTACAGCAAGATAATAAATATGTTCAGGCGTTGATGGCCTAATATGAAGTGATTTATGTTTTAAATAAATGCTTTCTTTATTTACTCTTTATTTTATTGTAGTTATGATAAGACCCGTGTTTGTAGGACACTTCTTTTCTCAGAAGAACCAGTGGTTTATAAAGTAAAAACAACTCAATCTTCGATGTTGTACGGGTCAGTATGCTGAGCTGCAAGGATGATATATAGATTTACCTTACTGTCCGACTCGACCCACGGAAACTGCGTAGAGATGTTACATCTCTCTGCATCTTCTACCGAATTTATCATGGGAAATGCTCTGAGGAATTGTTCGGATTGATACCTGCTGCTGATTTTCACCACCGTACAACCCGCCATAAACTAAATTTTCATCCCAACCATCTGGACGAGTGGCGATCTTCCACCATGCGTATTTCATGGCAATTTCTTCCACACACAACCACTCTTGATGAATCAACTTCCAGTAGCAGTATTTCCAAACCAATACGACATTATAAGCTTCAAGAAAAAGCATATTTTAAAAGGCCGGCAGCACACCTGCGATGCAGTTGGTGTTGTAGGTGATCATGGGCGGCGGTAGTCACTTACCATCAGATGAGCCGCATGCTCGTTTGCCCCGTGATGTAAAAAAAAATTGATGGAAACGTTTTAACTAAACCTGATTTTATCATAAACTTAATTATTTTCAAATCGATTTAATAGTTTAAATTATAGATCCTAATTCAAAATAATTTAATTTTGCCACAATTGAAATCGGTTTTTATTTGGGACACAATATTAAATTATTGATTACTAAATGATTTAAATGATATTATTATATCTACAGGGGCTAAACGGCAGCTAACATTTTCTGTTAGTAAAGCTTCAACCGCAGATGCGACAGGGTTTAAAGATCAAGTTATTGCAAATAACACCTGAGTCCTCAGGAATGGCAACGCATGGGGAGTATCATAGGCGAAACAGTATACTCTGTTATGTCCATGGTACTGCTCATGTCTATAGGCGACGGTTACCACTTTCCATCAGGTGGACCGTCAGCTTGTTTGCCATTCTAAGTTGTATAAAAAAATGGATACTTGAGACCAGAGGGAAACTGTACAAAAGTCGTTTGCTTGGGTACCTCTGTCCCATTCGTGTTTCAACCGTAAAGCAGTTGTGTATGCATGGCTGTGTTTCGGTTTGAAGGGTGGGATATGGCATGAATTTACAGGATACAGAGGAATAATATCCGAGTCCTCAGGAACGGCAACGCATAGGGCATATCATGAGCAGTATACTCTGTTGTCAATGGTACTGCTCATGTCTGTAGGCGACGGTTATCACTTCCCATCAGGTGGGCCGTTAGCTTGTTTGCCATTCTAAATTGTATAAAAGAATATAATTAAAAAAAAAAATACTTTAATAGTAATATTTTGAGTATCGAGTGTATGCTATAAATTACAAAAAGAATCATTACAATCGATTCAGTATTGGCGAAGATATATGACTTCGAACCTCTTTCTTCAAGCCACAAATTTTTTTGTTTATTAAAATAACTGAATAAACAATGGAAACAATTTAATTAAAAAAGACTCCAAAGTCTGAAACTTAAATATCAGTATTAATTCATTTATTATTAATATTTAAAACCATTTTATTATTATGCGTCTTTACATTTCCCATTTCGCTATTAATTATTTAAAGCTTTAATCATACATTTATAAAAAACTGTGATATAAAAATTACTCATAGGTATCTCCTTGGACCAGGAATATAAATGAAAGAAAAATAATAATATTGAATTAAATCATTTTATTTTAATGTTATATTTTAACTCTAATAATAATTATATTCAAAAAATTGAATATTTGTTTGATATTTTTTTGAAAGTATACAAATGAATTATATATCTACTAATGGAAGTAGTTTATGTACATAATTTGGCATCTAGGTGTATTTGTCAGTAGTTAATTACATTTAAGACTGAAATTGATACTTTTTTCACAGTACCTTTACCGAGACTTAATATTATTATTAAAGTGCTTTTAAAAGTAGAAGTCTGTATAAATCTATTTTATACTGCAATTATTGATTTTGTTACATTAAAAAATAACATCACGTTAATTTGCAAATGTTATTACTTTAAATAAATATACTTTTCTAGACTTATATATTCTTGAAAGAACTAAAATGCAAGTCTATTCATTTGAAGTTTCCGAGCTCCGGCTGTTAGAAGTCCAGCCAAATTTCATTTTTTTTTAAAGTTGTTTTAAAAAGCTCTGCGCAGTCGAGGTAAGTTCTTTAATTACTTTTCCGTATATCAAAACAAAACAGAAATACATGCATTGCATAACGAAGTATTATTTATACACATTATAGCAAATTCCTGGGAAACAGATTGGATTAGTCTCTCGTGTGCGCAGGCTTTAACAAAGCAAATTATTAATAAAAAAAAGTGCAATTATCAAGATCTTTGTGACAACAACATGCATATATTTAATTATATATGTGACAGAAGAACACCTGGCTGTCAAATTAATTCTATATGTCATTAAACCACTTCAATAATATTAGTTTAAATTCACAAAGGAAAATTTTATAGATAAAGATACACCACACAATATTTAAAAATAATATCGAAATTCTTTCATTATATGAAATATTTGAATTAAAAATTTTCACTTATACATACAGTAGATAATAAATATCAATCGAGCTTATTTTAGGATTGTCCAGTGAGATGACCCGCTTACACTAGATTATGTATCAATCATAAATCAATATAAGCAAATTGGGGGCATGGTATTTATTTCGTGGAACTAATGAAAAACTATTTTTAGTGATGTGCAAAAATTTAACATTATAATACAAGTATGTTAACATATGTAATATTATAACATCATTTCAGATCACAACCCAGCATAAAGATCGCCAGAGCCCCGTTCGTTTGTTAGCAGGGTGCACCAATGGCAGGTGAGGTTGACTTTGCCCAGATGATATGGATGGACACTTGCACCCCATTTGTAGAATGGAAACAATCACTAAAAGAATAATACTATTTTATTTTTTACAAACAACCCAAATTTTTTTAATTCAAATATTTCTTATTAATATTTTTATCAATGAAAGATGCATTGCAAACTAAGTAGCTGACCGCAACTTCAGACGAGCTCGTCATCTACCGTTCCCCATAAGAATTTAAGGAAAAATTGTATTCATAATGAAAACCTAACAATTAAAACTATGTATTGATAGTCCATCTATCAAACAGTCAAGATAATTTTTTTTAAACGGATAATCAAGAGCTTACAAGATATGTGCGCCTCTCAATTATATCTTAACAATTTCATAAAATATACATGTTTTTAATTTCAGATACAGCAGCAATATTTTACAAAACTAAATTGAAAATTATTAGATCCATGTATTACTGTGCATCTTTTATCTATAAAATTAATCAATTATCACAAACACAAATTTGATATATTAATATAATAGATATTTCTACATCTACTTTTTACAATACAAATACATATTTACGTAATTCAATAAATAAATTTATAGTTATTAATCTTGGAAATAGTAGGTAGTGCACAATATTATTTGATAATGCCTCTGACTAACAGCCGTGAGCATATTATTTGCTAATTACTATTATAAAATTAAATTGTAACAGTCCAAATTGTTGTATGTAAGAAATATATAACAGTGAAGGCTCAATTAACATTACAAGAGAGCTAGCAGTAAATCTCATTCCAAGTTAGTATTTTAAGTTGTGGCTCAACTATTCAAACATTACAATTACAATTATTAACAACTCCATTGCCTTATAATAGTAATTTGTAAGATTTTGGGTGTGTAAGATATTTTATCTGCTACAAATTTGAGATAGTACAAATTGTAGATACAAGAAACACCGAATTTTACATGACATAGAGCTTTTTAATAAAAATAGTTGTTACAAAATATAAGGTAGATGGAAATATGAAACGTCCTCTCAGTAATTTTAATGTAATACATTAGCCAAATATATAAGCTTGTAATATCTATTACGGTTATATTAATTTTTCATTTGAAACTTGAAAGTAGTGTAGATATTTACAAAATTATTTACATACATTACATAGATTACAATGCTAAATCATAAATAATCTAAATCATATTAATTATTATATTACATATTTTTGTGTTCAAATGATAAAACCCTGACACCCAATCCACTGTGATTTTAATTGGAAATTATGTTGTTTGTAATTAGAAAGTACGTGAGTGACAAAAATATTTTAGAATTTAAAATAATATATCTGCTTAATTTTCGCCTCTTTACTTGAATGAAATAAATAATAAAAATTGTAATAAGTGAAATTAATATATTTAACAAGGATGTCAAGATTTTTATTTCACTTATTTATTGACTAAGTTATAGACGCGCAAAGTATTAATTTCAATTTTTGTCATTAGTTAATATTCTATTATGCTCAACAAAATGAGTTGTAAGGTCAAACTATGAGGAGACTAGTGAAAAATCCTTATTACAATCTAAAGAGGCTGTAGCGGTTATGTGCCACGGATTCAATTCCACGGCGCTATTTGAATTATAATTTTGTTTCAATTTATTTGATTGATCAAGATATTGTTCAAGCAATAATTACTAGAGTGGTATCTTGATAAAGGATTGAGAATTTATACACCTTTTTAAATGAGGTTTCAGCCCATTTGGTGTTTTTCTAGGCTACACATTTCACGAAAAGTACAACCGCAGTGTGTTGTCTATTGATCCGCGACATATAGGACACCTGTCTGTCGATAGAACGCATTTTGCACAAGCACATACGTGTCCACATGGAACGATGACGACATTACATTCATCCTCATAGCACACCTTGCACAACTTTCTGGTATCTTCTAGTTCAATATTGCTATTAGAACTTGTAGGTGCTGCTGGTATTGTTTTCGTTTCAGGTTTTTCTTGTGTAGTCTGTGATACGTTATTTTGGGTCGAATTTAAAACTTTTTGTACATATTCTCGTCCCTTTACTAGATAAACAAAGTAACAGCGAGAGAACCATTTTGCATGTTGTTCCCACGGTATGTCATCCTTTTCCCAATCTTTAAGACCGCCGTTACAAAAATAACACTTAGTTTGGTCACCTTTACCAGTATAATAGAAACCAGCATCAGCCAAATCCTCGGGTTTCTGAGGCATACTGAGCGGCCAATCGTTGAAAGTCCGGAGACGAGCTGCTTTCGTTGCGTATTGCGGATGTACAGGAGTTGCCTTGGTAGGCAAAGCTCTCGTACCACATTCATCATGACCACTTGTAGAAGTTGAACTAATGGGTAGATTAGCCGTACTAGGTTGTCTCCTTAACAAACAGCTTGACAAATTATCTGTGTCGGATTCCATCCGCAATAACGGACATTGTGGCGACCATCGCTTATGATCGACTGCTGGATCATCACCCTCTCTCCAACTCATAATCTCTACATTACAATAGGCACAAATTACTTCGTCACCACAACCCTTATAGTAAAATCCACATTGCGCAAGTTTCTCTGGAGACAGAAATGGGACCGGCCAATTAACAAAAGACTTGAGACGTTCCTCTACATTTTGCATTTTATCTACCTCGCAATAATTGAATCGATCCCGATTGTCGATTTTATCCGGAGACGGTGTGCTTGTAAAAGAAGTTGAGGAGGACGTTGAGGATGATGATGGAGTAGAACAATGGAGTTTGTGAATGTCCTTGTTCTTGAAAGAGGTTTCAAACGGCGGCCGTGTAGCTGTTGAGGGCGGCGACGGAGTTGGACATTGGAGTTTGTCCAGGATCTCCTGGTTCTTGTAAGACGTTTCAAACGACGGCCGTGTAGCCACTGCAATAAATGAAAAACATTGTAATTAGATTATTAATATATATACTTATTATTTCTTACTTATTATACACACTAATAATACATACAGTCATTATAGTATTCGAAAATTTTATAATAATAAAGGTCAGCAGCATGTATTCACTGTCCCGCGATAAAAAAATCGTATGTGTGTGTCGACGATAATTATGGTTTATATGTACATATATCAAATTTTGTTCAAATCCGTCGAGCTATTTAAATATAATTGAATAGCAAAATCAAACATCAGGTTTGGAGTCTATAAACATTCATATTTATAATATCAGTATAAATGCATTAGTGATCTTTTAGGATTACTTCTGTTATTCCAACTAGATTACATTTATTTTTACCAAATATGAAAACATAGCGACGGGTATTCAAGAGTTCACATAACAAGTCCTCGGGCAGCCGGCCCGGTTGGCTGCGTCATTACATTCCATTCCAACCTCCCCTCCTCTCTCGCATTCCCCTCTCTAGGTGCATTCAGTGCGCATGCACTCAGTGCGACCCACAATCAATTTTTCACAATCCGACTGTACTTATAAAATGTCTATAAATGGCATTTTGATCATCTTCAATTGTTATTATAAATTTACGTAGATCAAAGAATCAATAATAATTAACCATAGCAATTAACAGTAACGGTTTGCATCACTGTTCTATGATGTTCCCATTGAAGTAATATGCATATACTAGCTGTTTCTAAAAGTAATCAATGTTCATAAAGGAGTACCCTACAGCGTTATTAATTTTGTTTTACCATCAAATAGTTTAGTATCATTATATTCTACTGTTAAATTTACTATTAAATATCTGAACCCTGAACATTTGAAATAAAATTATGGCTGCGTACACCGATCGATATTTACCATTCTTCTGTCCACTGTCGATTAAGAGGGGCATTTTAGCTGAATCTATACACAGCAACTTATTCACATAATACAAATTCACTTGGCAACAGAACGATTCACTAAACTTAGACATGCGTTTTATTTTGCTTTATAATTTTGGATAATTGCGTGCGACTGAATCAACAAATATCGTCTAGTCTCTAACGAGAAGTCCAATAACTAACCCTACTGCGCACGCGTACTACAGAGGGTTCAAACACGAACGAGGGGTGCGAGTATGACACAGCTGTGTTGGGGACCTTGATCGTTGAGTTTTATAAACAAAATAGTATGCGCAGTTTACACTTTTTAAAAATGTTATAAGGTCTCGCATTTCTGTAAGTAGATTTTGATCCATATTAAAACAAGTTCAAAAAATCGTGTCGTCAAACAGATTTTGCTTTGCAAAGAACAATGGCAGTTTACCCTTGCCAAATGGCAGTTAAACCTTGCAAAATTAATATGAACATATGGAAATACAGCCTATAGTCAACCTAAACGAAAAATAATTATCAAAATTGATTCAGAATGGCGTATTTATATTACATAGATACACAAAAAATATAAATATAATTGGAATCTTCTCCTTTAGGAAGTCGCTTAAAAAGATATAAAAATAGGTATCTCTTATCTCGGTAAAGCCTAACACATGATGATAAATCTTATTAAAATAAAGGTAGACCACCGCGAGTCAGTCTAGGGCTATATAACATAAATAGTAAGCATCCTTAATGTATAGGAGAGAGAGAGAGGAGGTTAGAGGGACGATGCGGGAGAGATGTAATTCTCAATCAGGCGGGCGACTAGAGCAACGTTGCCGTACTGCACACAGCCGGCCGGATTTCATTCATATTTGAGACGCGCCGTTGCCGTTTCAGCGGAAACCGCGACCACACAGCGTAAAAAGGGCCTATGGAATGTGGCGGTACAGCGGGCGGGTCTAACGCCAAATAAAAAAGTAGTTGTATGGAATGCGGACAGAACGTACTTACGTTACATTTTTTATAACTGTGCGTGATATAAATTTTAGGGTAGTTAGATTTATTTTTTGCTTACAAATAGGAAGGTAGTTAAGATAGTCCTAATGCATTTTTTTTTCACATAGTTAACTAACAATTCAACAGGTAAACCTCCAGAAATCATTTACTATTTACTAAATGATGCAAAGGTAAATGCAATGATCGTTTGCACTTTGCAGATAATAATGATTCCTAAAAATAAATAAAGGTTCAAGGTTCTCAGTACGACGTTCACCGCAAAGAGAAAATGAAATTCAGCATTGTGCCAGAGTGGCGAGAGGCGGCGCCTCGAGATGCGAGAGCAAGCGTGGGGAAGGGGACGGGGCCGTGTTCTCATGCTATGGGTGGTCGACGATCGGCTTTCGAATTCCAATGCCTCGCTTGTAGCGCCTACGCGCTAGACCATATCTACCCATTGGAATAATTGCAGTCATAAGATTTAACTCTTAAACGTTTATATACTATTTTTTATAAGGCAAGTATCTAAAATAAGTAGGCAGTTAAGTACTAACACTACATTGAACATTTCTTCAATGAAAGAATCCTTGTCAATAATCGTCTATGAATGAATGTGGTGTTTCATTCTACAAACTAAACAAACATCTATTTGCCGGCCTCGCTTTATCATAAAGCTGAAAAAATAAACTAAAGGATACACGCCCGGAAATTTCAGCGGAAGCGAACATCCGCCAGATGGGTCGTATTCATACCAAAAGAGGGTATTGACAATAGTAAACAATCCTTTTTACGTCTTCATTGGTAAGTTCAGACCAAACCTTGTAAATAATTGATAAACAAGTTGGTTCGAATGTTTTGAGCAAGAAGTTAAAGTAGAAAGCTTTGATGACATCATGCGGCGGTAAAATTTTACCGTATTAACTAAACGCGTGTATTGCATGGTTGTAGATGTTTCCGATCGGTTACCTACATTCCATAAATACCATAAGGTAAAAGTTACATTAAATGCAAAAAAAGTATATATATTAAAAAGTAGACTTTAGGCCGGGCACGTGTTGTGTCAGCAGTTGTCCACATGGTAGTCAATGTTAATTCATAAAAACTATGATTTAATTAGCACTTGCCCTATTGTTCTTTCTTTTACATGCGACGATCGAAGCTATTCTATCCTAAGATTCGTTTGTACGTTGTCTATGGGGGCAGTCATTTTCTGGTGATGACGAAGGTAGGTATGGCGTCACAGGTGAAGTCTCGCAAATAAATATTACTTTAACAACGTTTTAACCTATTTAGACTCCGCAATTGTTAATCCCAAAGTTTAAATTTCAACAAGAGTCTATGACATGAACACTGAAGTTTTTAGTAAGGATAGCCTATTTTAATCTAGTAGTCAGGGCGACCTCCACCCAGTTTTTCTGAAAATCATCATAATTGATCACTGATTTTAAAATAATCTATAGTAGTAAAGTTAATGATAGACAGGTTCTTGGGGAGCAATATTTTTTATATACAGACTAACAATGAAACAATAAAATTATAATCTATATAGTAACCATCACTAAACATAACAATGAGAGGAAAAATATATTAGTACATACCTACTATTAACACAAATTGTTAATTTGTACACATAAATAATATTATTAAAATAACTTTATGAGTACCTACACTAGACAGAAACGTTGATCCCCTTATTCATAAAAATTATAACCTCCTACAAACCTATTATAACTATTACACTGTTTTGTCACTTTTATTCAAACTGAGAATTTAACACAAAAGAAAGAAATGAAACAGTTGTATAGCTATAATAATTTAATAGTTTATAGGAGGTTGACATTTTTATGAATATGGGGGTAAGTAAGTAATTTCGAGATACATTTACACAAGTTTAAAAAAACCAAATTACTAATAGATGGTGTTAGGAGTAGGTACAAAGTAAAAACTCCAAAAAGAGTATTTGGCGGTAATAATTATTTATCTTCACTATGATTAAGTCTTAAGTAGCAAATCTATAAGAGCAAAATTTATTCTTGAAAATTAGCTAAGAAGCTAAGTAATGGAATCCAAACCAACCATTTTTAGAATTGATATTTACCTACCTACCTGCCTGTTTTAAGAAATAAAAATGTTATAATCGATAAGATGGATATTTATTTGATTATAAAATTCAACAGAGGTAAAAATTTGTAGGAATGTATGATTTACCAATATCAGTTAAATAAATTATAAAAAAAAACAACCTGCATTAAAAGTAGTTATATCGAACTTTGTTATGTTTACAAATATGTCCCCTAGATGGTGTTAGTATCAATTATCACATTACATTTTAGTAAAATTATATGTATTAAGAACAAATTATTGAACATTGCTAAAAATATTTTAATATAAAAAGTTTTCAAAATAGAGTTCATATTTTGCCAATGTTCTTATATCTTTTTATTTAGGTTATTTTAATAAGACATCTCTTTATTTTTTTCAGTTGTTTACGGTTATGTACCAATTTGCTACTAATCATAACAGCAAATAATTTCATTTGATATACAAATTAATTCTAATAAGAATCCAGTTAGATATATAGAAAAATGTACTCACTGTGAAAAATTATTAAACAATATTTCAAAATTTTAATAGCATTGTTTATTGTACAGTGTAGTTTAAAAACATTAAGGTGTACCAGGCAAATTTGTAAGGTCATACAAGTGGCAAGAGGCCCCAAATGGGTATTGTAACTATTGATGTAAGCAGGTATCCAAGGTCATATTAAGTCATTGGTAATAAAAAAGCTTAACAGTAATAATATATATATTTGACTAATGAGAAGTAATGTTAGAACATGATCTCATGCATCTACCTACATTTTTAAAAGTAGGCTGAAATTATAAATGTAATTAACACTTGGTTATATAATGTCTATGTAATGCAGCATCTCTCAAAATAAGTATTTACTTTTTTAATTATGAAGACTATACAAAATGTAATAAAATAATAATAACTATATCCACACATATCACACAACATCATTTAATCCCAATATAAGTAGTTCAAGTCCAACAATGGATTATGAGTAATATATATATATTAGAGATTTACTAGAAAATTTCTAGTAAATCTGATAAAGCAAAACCTTCACATTCAACTGCAATGGATACTAAAAAATTTTATTTCATAATAAAAAATGTTTAGCAGGTAAATAATTCATAAAAACCTTAATAATTAAATTATACATTTCATTTTATTACATTTTATTAAGTGGATACCATAATAGTATAAATTTATAAAGAAATTATTTCAATAACCTAAGATATAGTGAGTATATATTTTACTAGATGGCGTTATGTACTGTGAGTTCTTAAAAACAATCGCCTATTCATAATTTTATTCCTTTGTCAGATGGAAACATTTCAAAAGTAATTTTATTATGGTAAATGGTTTGATTATGTAGATAATTTTAGTTTTTAACTCCAGAATGAAGCATATGTATTTTTAAAAAACACTAAAATAAATATCTTAACATAAAAGATTGGTTGCTATTAGTTTTTAGTTTATGAACTTTGGTCTTAATTTTAATACCATTTCAAATGTTTTTTTTTTAATGACTAAGTATATTTTGACTATGATCATCAAAAAGTAAGTTAACTTTTTTAGTGCCAATTTATTATATTTTATCAACCAAAAACAAAACAAAATTATATTTAGAGAAAATTGCTGAATTTTATTATGAATAGAATATCTTGATCATTGTTTGGTTTAAATTATAAATACTCCGACTGTATCTTTTTACTACAATTTGCAGGTCTCGTTTTCCACTTATATATTATATTAAAATAATGCCCTGTCTTTATAACAACGTTCATACATTACAATAATCATGTTTATTGTAGACATATACACATTGTCGTGACGTAACTTACGAAGTGATAAATCAATACTTTAAGAAAATAAGGTTATGTAGAAATTTGATGCTCCTTATATAAGCTACTTATATGCCAACTCAAACTATGGCAGCTAAGTGAACAAACAGCATTATAACTGATAAGGATTTAAACAAATAATGACGTGTCCTCGTTCTAAATTAAACCATATGTTGAGGAAAAATATGCGTTCATTACCTGAAGTTGGCGCCATTATGATTAGAATTACTGGAAAGTGAAGTCGTTATCACTGTATCTTCGGTAATCTGAATTGCTCACATCCACTAACACTTTTATTTTGTTCCAAAAACAAAAATCAAACACTAAAGACAAACACGAACAAAAATAATGTCAGTGTACAGGACCGTTCGACATTGGGTTCGACGGAACTGCAACTGATGGAAAACCAGACACGCGTGACATTTAATGTTGCCAGATACAGTAGATTAGATATTACATTTATCTTAGCCAAATATTATTTTTATCAAAACATGATAAAAAGTAATCTTTATAATTGCTAAAATATAAATTACTTATAGTTAGTGAATTGTATCTATTCTATGCAAGTGGCTCGATTGTTAGATTTGCCAAGCAGTAAAGCTAAGTTGTAATTTCTTGTCAATTTTTACAGACAATAAATTAATTCTATTTAAATTTATACCAAGTTACACTTATAAAGTACACTTATAACATTAATTATTAAAAAAAAAAATTATAAGATAATTTTGTTGAAAACCTAATTTTATTAATCCTATTTCAAGCATATTATAATGTTGGTTATTAAAACGAAAATACAAACGTTTACTTATGACTTAGTATTGATATTATAATATATTTAAATACAGTAAGTACTACAGAAAATAATTTACTGTACGGAGTGCTAATATTTTTTATTTAAATACCTAAATTGGTTTAATAAAGATAAATTAAAAGGATCTTATTATATTAATAGATGTAAATTTTCTTAAAATTTCAAAATATTTACTGAACTTTTTTATTATACAAATACGTAAATCATTGCAGTTTTTCAGAATAGTACACAAAGTGTCATTTTGTTTGGTATACTGGCAACACTGACCAATAGCTGCTTTAGTGATGAGCTATTATCGACTTTCAACTTATCGAGTGATTAAGTTAAAGTCGTTGAATTTTTACTTTATCATATTAAAATCGTCTGCATAAAAATTAAAGCTAGGTCTGCTCATTTTTTGTAATTTTCATTATATTTATATTTAGTAATGTATATCAAAATGAAAAAGATAATAGTTTGACAGACTGCCAAATACCGGATATTCGGCTGACTACGAGAGCGGATGGTTGAATATTCGGCGACCGGATATTCAGCAATGTCGATAATAAAAATCATTGTAAAATGATGAAATCTTTTTAGATTAAAAATTAACTAAATAATTGCTGATCAACTTAAGTCTCTATTTAGAATTTGATTAAAATAGTTGTTTACTTGCTGTGTTATTTAAATTTCTTGGAAGGTAATTTTTCCCTTCTTTTTCCCTTTTCAATAAAGTCTATTACTATTATTAACTATTATATTAGTATTTACTTTACAAAGAATTACTTATGTTAATTTTAAGAAATTCTAGAGTTTCTTTTTATATATGGTATCCAGCCGAATAGTAAACTTAAAGCTCGATACCAGATAGATGCCGAATATCCGTTTCATAATAATAGATAATAAATAATGACGTAGCATATATATATAGACTATAGTATTAAAAAAACCTTTCGGAGAGCTAGATTTACCGCAAATTAGTGAAGACAGAGATGTAACACTTACTCCTCAGGAATGGTAACACGTTAAAGGTACCACAGACATTATAATGTATTCTATTAACCCAATGGTGTTCACGTTTATAGACGACATTTACCTCTTTTTATTAGACTACTCTCTTTTTATAGATTTAAGTTGTTATAACACCAGTAGAGTAGACATCTACTATCAAATGGTACTCACTAGTTACTAGTTAAAATGTGGATTTTGTAACTTATTTACCTATATTTATTACAAGTACAGAATCAAACTTATTTACCTTAGGTAGATACTTATATAAAAAATATTTGTTTATTTCTTATTATTTATATCACACTTCAATATTTTTTTTTTTTTTAATACCTAAACAACAATTTTTATAATTTAAAAAATTATGTAAGTTATTATGCAAGGCACTTAACACAGACGTATTATTGTTTTGGTTAAGCAACGTATATACTATATTGTAAATTGTATAGACTTATACTTTAAACATCACAATATGCACTTGAAAAAATGTTTTTCTTCTATGATAAATTGATAAATCCTTGTCGCGTGTTAGCACTGTAGCTAAACTTTGTGATACTGCTGTTATGTTATAGATATCCGTAGAAACATATATACTTAGATATAATAGATACTATAGTATGTCGCAATTAGTGATGTGTTCAATATATACCTATATATATCAGAAGGCAGCTACCTACACAGTTAATAGATTGGTAGCTATGACATTAAAAGCAATTAATTTATGTACTCTACAACTGAGTACATAAATATTTTAGAGTCAGCGCTCAGATAAGTATTAATTTTTTTTTTAATAAATGAAAATCGAATCGTAGATATTAGATATACGCTTTATAGATTTTATATAACTGACTCCGCACGGGAAACGTGCCGCGGGAATAAACTAGTTGTTCACTAAAATATAATCCATAGTACCAGATAATACCTAGTAACCAAAATAACAAACACGATAAGCGTATGGTGATAAGTCCAACAGAAATTTAATACGTTGGGTTGAAACACTCGCACAATGAATAAAATTCATTTATTTCTAACCGACTTCAAAAATAAATCTCATTTTTTATATATATTTTTTGTTTTAATTTTGTTACCTCATAACTCTGTTAGTTATGAACCGATTTAGAATTGTTTTTTTATTCGAAAAGATTATTTTATAAGGAGTTACAGATTAGTTCTATAGAACTTTTACCAAAATCGGTTCAGTAGTTTAGAATTGCAATTGAAATAACTGGCTTTGCCACAATTGAAGACGGTTTTCTTTTTATATAACACGATCTTAAATTATATTTACTAGCAATTGCTAGATAAATAACGCTATTGTGTCGTGTAAGAGGAAAATCTAATAAAACAGTCCACTTCTAGATAACGTATCGAGATAAAACCTATACCAGATTTCAAGATCGACCTTCAGGAACACAGCGGTGAAAATTGTAAACAATTTGGCATGGTCCCAGTATGATGATTGGTAAGAATAAAGTAAGTTTTTTTAACTGATGGAAATCGAATAGTATCCCCGCCTGCCCTATCGATAAACACTGGTAAAGCACAAGTGAGGGATGATAGGTGAAGATGAAAGAGGTCAGTTAACCCATCGTTACGAATCTAACAATAAATCAATCATGATGATTTCTCGGGGTAACTACAAGGAGATCAACCTGACAGGGAATATTGCTAGCAATGGGGCTACTAATCCTATTACTAACAATCCCTTTTCCCCATCATAATGAATTCACGAAGAATTAATTACGATAGTTTCCAGAAGGGACATAATAGGATATATCGCTAGTAAAGGGAGTTTCAGACCTTTTTACTGACAACCTCTTTTCCCCTTACTGGCTGGACACTCTAAACCTCTAGATATCATTTGTTTACAACTTACTTTGTTGCCCTTATTTACAGACAGATGCTGCTATCGAATTATTGTTGTTAGATTAGTGAAAAAAACGCGAAGCAGGTGTGTACTACTTGAGCGCAGCTTGCTTGTGCGCGGGTGGTTCACAGCTGCCGTTCCACGTGCTTCGCAGCTGTCGTCTCCGTCGCACAATCCACCTCAAAGTCAAAGCCCATTGTTACCTCAAAATTAAATTTTGGCTCATTGCATATCATGCTCTATAATATAATTGTAGAAAGGTTGTCTGTCTGTATCGTGATTAAATATACCTGTCTATAACAAACTATATTAAGCAAATTCGAAAAAAGTCTTAAAAACAGTCACAAATAATCAACTCACCATTTGGTGGAAAACAAGTTTTTTACTTTGTACTCGTACTATAAAATAAATAGTAAAAATATTATTTAGCAGTCAATAAAATAGACACCATACCTATTTATTTTATATAGTCGTCGTTGTGACTGGAGAACAATAAAAACATAGCTAACTTAAAACTGTATATTTGGTGCCAAATTTTGAACTAACTGAGAAAAAGTGTCAAAAAGAAAATATATATAAAAGAATATAAAATACAAATATATAAAGAAGATTAGCTGCACATAATGCTAGTAACATTCGTGTTGCTTAACTCTCCAAAATAAATGTAAAAAAAATTAAATCTTTCATTAATTTATTATTAGTTTTTTTTTCTTTTATTTTTGTTATGACATTACGCATATTCACTTACATACATATATCCAAACTTGCATATTCATTCCTACATTTGAAAAAATGCGATATTCAGCTAAAAATATTTAAATGAAAATTGTTTTTCAATAATATAGACCTATCTAAATATTCAACATCGCCATTTTAAACAAATCTCAACCGTATTCTCAGTTATAGTTAGAACCAATGAATTGATATTGTTGTATGATACTGTCGGGCTGTGGCAGACGTAGTTAGTAATAAACGCATATTTTAATGAATGAACCCAGCTCGACGGGGAATGGTGCCTGCAGGCTCCGCGTCGTGAGTTAAGAATGTCATAGAATAACAATGGAAATGCATTGAATAGGTCTACACATCAATGAACTAAATTGCCAATTTTGTAAAAGCGAAATTACAAGTAAAATTAATTTAAAGATTATCGCCATCTATATGCATTTGAGAAGATTATATGTTTATTTATTTTTATAATTATTCTTTTCTTTTTCTACATAAGTATTATTCGACTAAGAGTAAAGATATCTCAAATATTAGATGGTACCAGAAATTAGACCTATGATTATTATTGATCCAAAATTGATCGTGACGAATACATATTTGTTCGTAAGTAGTCAACACTAGTCTTTACTTATGGGCATATAACAAACAAAATATTATTTTTAAAACTTATGTTCGTTTTTATATAATTTCCATTACATTTTTTTTTAAAGAAAATTTTACTCTTAAGTAGAATCTATTTTTTAGGTTCTTTACCTTAGTTCTTTACGTTCATCAATGCAATCAAACAAAGTCGTCAAAGACCTACTTAAAACACTTACCTATCTAAATGTGTACCTATCTAAAACAATTTATTTAAAAGGCTATGGTATAGTCTGTGCTGGGATAATATAATATTATACTACAGTCTGTGCACACAGGCGGTCGGTCCAATGGTTGCTCGGGCCGTGCGGCACTAAGGCCGTCCGGCGTGGCTTGGTATGCGGCCTGCTTTTCCCAGAACTCTTCGCTTGTATGGCGCGACGAGATCACTTGCATATAATGTACTGTATAATATTAAATAAGGAATGCTTACCACATTATAGATGCTATACAGATACATATATCTTTGAATTTTCACGTTTAGTACGAATTGATAATGTGTATAGTTAAGTACCATTTAATAGATTCGTTAAATCATTTGTTAATAATATGATTTGTAGAATTTATTTACTATTGTACTAAATATTTCATATTTTAATACTTGTATTTAAGATATAGTTATCTACATAGCAACTTACAAGGTTTTGAAAAAAAAATTGCGCTAGAATGTAATATGTACCTAATATTAAAAAAAGAAAGAAAATTTGAAATATATCCTCTTCCCATAAGAAAAAAACATGAATGTAACTTAATTATAAAAAAATATTATATTATATTAAAAAAACTGTATTTATTAGAATGATTAGAAAAAGGCATTAGATAAATATTTGCTATTGAATTATTGTCTTTCTCTTAATGTATCTAAAAAGATAATAATATTATCATCACATATGTGTGTGGTAATTATTAGATAATTAAAATTTAATAATTTATCTATGGAATCTCTGCTGGAGATATGATAAAAATAAAATTATATGATCATTCTTTTTTCTGATCAATGAAAAATGAAAACTGACTCGGTTAGAAGCCAAAATTTTTGGTTGATTTTGAAACGTCGTATAAGTTAGATAAAACGACTCTATATTATTATCTTGAATATAATACAGTCTATAAGTCAAAAGAAAAAACTAGTTAATGTTTAAACTGAATTGGGAAATGTTACGAAAACGTGTCACAATGGTGAGCGCTGCGTACACAAAGCACTATTTTTTCCTACATAAATCCGTTACATTCCATTCCGTGAAGCTGCAAGTTGGGCGCGGAGCCATCTCAACGAGATTTCGAAATTCCAAGAAAGGTACAACCTTATCTCAAAAGAGCCGACACGGCCCGCAGCCAGAATTCTTTTTTTACACCACAGGTAGACTGGCGCTAAGAAGGCGTTGGAATTTATAGTACGAACTACCATATTTGATACTAAGATAAATGAACCCGTCAATGAAATAAATTTATGCAGTATTGAAAAAATATTTGTATTATTGCATAAAAATTGCCAAATATAAGAGAATGTTAAATTTTATATAATATAAAATTATATATATATATATATATATATATATATATATATATATATATATATATATATATATATATATATATATATATATATATATATTACTGCATGTTTTTCCCTTTTCTGCAATCTGTCGCCTGCATTTTATAAACCTAATCTAAAACCAGTTTGGTAAATCTCTCCTTAGTTTCACATTTCCATTTTGATTAATTCAGCACGAATAATTCTAAAAGAGAAAAAAAAAATTGTAACTTCAGTGTCGCTCTGTTTAAGCAGAGAAAAAGTTTTAAATTGTAAGTATCAACATCTTTTCAGCCTTCACATAGCAACAACAAAATGTAATAAAAAAAATGTGCGTTGTACTCATGCAGCACGATTCTTAGAATGTACTTCTTTCTACGCATTCCCATTCTCATGCCAGGATTTGAAGGTTATTTCCAATCCATCAATAAGAAATTCCTTTGCTATTGTGTATGTTGGCGCCTCTTTTCTGCATTTTTTCAATTACCGCATTCCAACTAAATTAAGTACTAAAAAAAAATCTACTTCTATCTTGATGATGCTGAAAATTGTTGGCATTTGATGGGATTTGAATTTCATCTTTATAAGGGAGTATTAATGTACCTATATTACAATCTAAATATTGCACTTACCTTTGATTAATGCTTTATGATAGGTACGATGAAACCAGTTAGTTCATGTAAGTATACTAACTGTACCGGGTTTGCCCATGTGAATCAATATGAAAGAATCCTGTATTTTAAAAATTACATTGAAAATATATTTGTATACTATTTTTTCCTTTAATTCCATTTTTTGTGTGAAACAGTAACAAACATTTAGGCATTTTCAAAATTTTACCACTAAAATAATGGTAGGAGTAGGAAAATTAAATTTGCCAAACATTGTTTTCTTTATACCACCTAGGTGACAAACAAGTATACGGCCCACCTAATAGTAAATGGTTACCGTAGCCAATTTTTTCTATATAACATAGTAGCTTTGCTTACTTATAATTCATTTATAGGTATAAAATATGCTCTCTTTAAAGTTGGAGCAAACAATACACATTTACAAAAATTTCAATAAAAACTAGCATTTTCGGAGATTATTGTGAACGTACTATGTTATGAAACGGTATTTTCAACTGACTTCAAAAAGGAGATTCTCAATTATCTACACTAATATTATAAAGAGGAAAACTTTGTTTGTTTGGTTGTAATGAATAGGCTCAAAAACTACTGGACCGTTTTTAAAAATTCTTTCACTATTCGAAAGCTACATTATCCACGAGTAACATAGGCTAAATTTTATTTTGGAAAAAAATAGGGGTCCGTAAAATATTTGGGTTTATCGGACACAAGATGTAAAAAATCAACCAGAAAAGTTACTTATTTTGCGTACGCTGCCTAAACTATATACTATGGTAGATCTTATAAATATCTACAAAAAAGTCCGCGACACACTATACCTATCTATGTCGAGTGAGGCACAACAACCATTTATTCATTTAAAAATCTTGAATTTTTTGGACTACACTTAAACGCATTTATTTTACTCATGCTATTATTCCTTATCAAAATAAATTATTTCATCACTAAGTACAGTTTATGTAGATAATATTTGGTCTTTGAATAAGTAAAATTGGACATTTTGTTTTGAAGTTATGGCGAAATTAAAACGATTTCTGCTCGGAAGAAAAATTTTATAAAATTCGCTTATCTT